TCACGTTTTCCCCAACAAACTTTCTAGTGCCGGCACTGGAATTTTTCCCGGCTGTTACTTTGCACCTCTTTTCCCGTGCTAGCACTAGAATTTTTCTAAAAAATTTCTCTCCGTGTAATCCTGAGTTTCCGAAGGTGCAATTCACCTTCAGAACTGAATGCATCGAATTCGATCTGGTAGAAATCAGTCGGAATTTCGAGTATCGACACGCCCCCCGCCGGTGATAATGAGTTATAGTGTTTTTTTATATGCGAGCTTATCAATCATCATAAAACCAAGAGAATGCATGCGGTGGAATTCGATTAGTCGTTCAAAAGGCATGAGGAATGTTTCATATTGTGGTTCCGACTGTGATGAGGAAATAAGAATTCGAAGGTTGAGAATGCAGACTTTGCTCAGCTGTTGACGTTATGCGCTTCAATCTTTGGAGGTGCTTATTGAGAAAAAAAAATATTCCTCCCAATTAACTTTATTTGCGTCAAACAAATTTGTTTGAGATTTAAATGGAGATTTAAATGGAGTTTTCATGTGGATATTTCGGGCATTTGGTTGTCTCATGCATATTTGTTTGGGACGAATCGAATGGGGTTTTCCAGTGATTGCAGTTTTGTTTATGGATAGCGATGATCCAGATTGATATTAAAACAACCCGAATTTGATGAACTTTTATAGCGAGACAACTTCAGACGCAAAAGGGGAGGCAAAGACATAAATAATACTTTGTCAGTTAATTATGGAAAAGTCAGACGCGAGAAAAGTGACATTTCGAGGGTGATTTCATGGCTCGGTACTCTCTCGCCTGCCAAGCAATGATTAAAACGCACGCCACTCCAGTTTAATATAGACATATAGTTATCCAAATATTGAGGTAAAAAATATACCTGAATCGTGTATATTTTATACCCCAAAAACAAATATAAATTTTTGTAAAAAAAAAACTCGCCAAGAATGGGTCCGAGCGTTCGACAGGCGGGTCGTTCCCCCGTCTAATGTTCAAGGGATACTTTCCCCTCGTACTACATACACTCAGAGTAAAACGACAAAGTTCTCAAACAAGTCTTACTTGTGCCAGGAAAATAGTTTTTTGAAAATTATCAAAAAAGGGGTTTTTGTGCCAAACGTGCAGAGAGTGCGCCGGAATGAAAAATTTTTGTCGCAAAAATAGATTTAATAGTTCAAAAAAAATTGCATTCTCTGTACACGCAAGGAATATTATTTCTAGCACTACTCCTTCGTTATTCGATACTCCCATACTATTTTGCTCCCGAAAAATCTTTGTTTTATGCGAAACAAGGGATCGTACATATATACTATATTGTATCCTTCAAACTTAGGAGAATAACCCATAATGGTTTGAAGGCTTTGAATAAATAAAAATCGCACGCTCCAAATTACAACAGGGAATGAAACCATTTATGAAATCTAAAATGTGCTGGGAAGGGATAAACAATGCAAAAAAACAAATAAAGATATTTGGGTGGTGGAGGGGGAAGTTGACTCGCGTATAATAGGACTACGTACCCGGTCTTGGCGGCGAGACGCAACTGCGTCCCTTGATCCGAATCAAGTACACGCATAAATCTGAATCAAGAACATTTCCATTCATATCTCGCAGAATGTAATATAAAATATTAATGGTTCCTAGATGTAGCGTTCGTATATTGACATGGTCGAGAGTGACCGAATGACATAAGGTACATTAACAATGAACAAAAACGGTTTTATCAGCTTTTGTACCCATTAATAATTTGGACAATTATCCGCCCTTCCGTTGGATAGTCCAAAAGAATTTTCAGTAGTAATACCCCAAGACCTTCAAAATTCTTTTTTTATTTCTTGTTGCATAGCAACGGAAAAATATCCGATGAATTTTTAAGGTCGAGGGGTATTCGGAGGGCAATTTCATCAGTTCTGATTTTGGCCGATCAGGGTACAGTGTTCGCGGTTACGGGACACATTTCAGGAGCGAAGCAGTAAACCGGGTTAAGTCGATTTTAACTGTTAGCCAGTTTTTGACGAATATCTCGGAATCTAAAAGAGATACAAAAATTTTTGTCATAACCTTTTTGTAGAGCCAACTAAGGGTTACAAAAAAGGTAATGAGCAAAATTTTGCTATCTCTCTTAGATTCCCAGATATTCATCAAAAAATGGCCAAAAGTAAAAATCGACTTAACCCGATTTACCGCTTCGCTACTGATTTCACCAAAATGTGAAGAATATCTGTCAAATTCGTAGAAAACAATTGACAGGCTACAGGGAAATTATCAGACTGATAATTTCAGAATAGAATAATTAATATTAATATTAATTCTATTAATTATCAGTCTGATAATTTCCCTGCAGCCGGGGAAATTATCAGTGTGAACCGCATCACGTGACCCCGAATACTGCACTCTGATTGGTCAAAATCATAAGTGAGGAAATTGTCAGTAGTAATACCCCAAGAGCTTCAAAATTATCGGATATTTCCCGATAGCTTCGTTGCAAACAAATGAAGGTGTCAAGTTTTGCAGTTTAAAAACCCCCGAGCGCTTGCGCGAGGGGATTGAGTTTCAAGGAGTATTTGTCCCCCGCCCCCCCAAAAAAATCAACCGAGGGGTATTCCGCGGGGTATTTGTTGGATTATTTATCCCAATCGGATTTTGGCCAAACAGAGTGCAGTGGACAACATCAGGAAATGAATTGGGGAAGATTTGAACAAATTATGTTAATAGAATATCCCGATTTCCATAGACTGTAAAATATAAAATTCTATCTGAAATGAGTCAAAAAAATGAAGAGCTGTTGCGAAATATTCAGGTAAAAAAAATGAACTATACTGCGAAATATTCAAAAGCTAGGAGGAAATATCAGAAATAGAACTGTCGGGTAGCCTCAAATACTGCGCTCTGATTGGTCGAAACCCGATTGGGAAAAATAATCAGCTATTATACCACAAGACCTTCAAAATTATCGGATATTCCGCAAATGTTTTGTTGCATAACAACGACCGGGATCGCGCTGCGCGCTCGAGATTTTAATCTGCAAAACTGATCCTGTATTATATGACCTGTATCATATGGCCATTATATGATCCGCATATCACGGACGAAAAAATTTAATAGAAAAACCTATCGAAGTCGTTCGAAAATTCTATTAAATTTCTGGTGAACTGTTCTATTAGTTTTTGGCCAATTCTATTGAAATGTTCAGTAGAAAATATTCAGTAGAAAAAGTCAATAGAATTTAATTTTTCTATATAACTTATTCTATTAATATATTTTCTATAGAATTTCCTCGGCTCAAATTTTCGTTTTTTCGTTTGATTTTCTTGATGAGAAGAAAAGAAAAATAGAATGAAAAAAACTTGGAAAATTTGAGCCGAGGAAATTCTATAGAAAATATATTAATAGAATAAGTTATATAGAAAAATTAAATTCTATTGACTTTTTCTACTGAATATTTTCTACTGAACATTTCAATAGAATTGTCCAAAAACTAATAGAACAGTTCACCAGAAATTTAATAGAATTTTCTAGCGACTTCGATAGGTTTTTCTATTAAATTTTTTCGTGCGTGATAACCCTTATATGACTCCCATATGACTCTTTTGATCCTTATAACTCTAAATTTCATAGGAGATCCTATTGAAAATCTTAGAGAATATCCTACAGCAAAAAATTCTATAAGGCATCCTGTACACGGAGAGAAATTTTTTCGAAAAATTCTAGTGCTAGCACGGGAAAAGAGCCGCAAAGTGACGGCCAGGAAAAAATTCCAGTGCCGGCACTAGAAATTTTATTGGGGAAAACGTGAATTTTTCTCCGTATTTCTGTGAAAATTTCACAGAAATCCTCAGAAATTTTACCAGAAATACCAAGAAATTTTACCTTAACAGCACTAGAAATTTTCACAGCCAGTGGATTATGATTTTTTCCAGTATTCGTACTAGGATTTTTGTAGAAAATTTCTCTCCCACGGAAAATCCTATCTGAAAAATCCTATAGAAAATATTCGAATTCTCCATAGGATTTTTTCATACGTGCTCTGATGAATGAATTAAGGCGATTTTCCAAGCTACTATAAAACTATATTATCCGCGCAGATGATAATACCGTTTCGAGTTAATTGGTAAATTCTCCATAAAGCCCACGCATAGGAAGTCACTTCGATTATTAATCGCTTCAAAAAGACATCTGGAAAAGTTGTGCAAAATTCATACATAATCCCACTGCCATTATAAAAATTCCATGGAAATTCCAGATTAATGTCGCAATTTACCTCTCTCTATCGACAAACCTTAATGACTTCCTTCAAAGCAATTTCGCGTCCTCTCTTAAATCCTCGTTAACCCAAGTATAGGATTTATAGCAGATCGTTACCTCGCTTCATTATGTCAATACAGTATACTGGGTTAGAAATGAGTCAAGGCTAGAAGTTTGGAATCCTCAATTGAGGAATAATAACATCGGAAGGAACAAGAATTCAATTCGTTACAATCGTGACATAGTATGAAAAGACGAACCAACGACACGGAGAGAAATATTCAATAAAAATTACGCATCTTTTCCGTAATTCCGGAGCGAAATGTGGTTGTAGGAAATTTTACGGAACTGTCACGGAATTTTTCCGGAGCGTTTCGTAATTTTTATGTGAATCTCCTGTGAAAAATTACGATACCGTCACTTAAATTTTCTGAGTCGATTCCGTAATCGGTGAGTGAATTGTGAGATGCTGGATAACAAAGTAGTCGGTTTGCTAACGCGATCCTCTAGTATTGATTTAGAAGAAATCGGAAAACAGTTGACGAATTTACGCTCTGGGAATTTGGTTTATGGATATACCAGACTGAAAGGGGTTGAATCCTTCATCACTTTTTTTGATAATGATAAGGGAATGATAATATAATCGTATACGCCTCGCATTTACTTTCGTCAAGGCCAGTATGGTACATCCCACAATTCCTGTTGGCGTTCCGAGTGAATTCAATTGAACTAATCAAGGCATTTTCCAATTTAGGTATAACATTGAAATAGTAAAAAAATGAGGATAGCATCACGCCACTTTCGACGTCCGATTATTGTCATTCTCCTGACAGCTTTGGTCTACTGTATCATACAAGTTTTAAGATCTGAATTGAGCGTACGAGAGAACGATTTGTCAAGCAATGAAAAACTGTAAGTCGAGAAATTTTACATAAATGGGGGGAGACGAGGGTAGAATGAATAATTATTAATCGTCAATTTATAAAGATTAATGGCAGAGTGAAAATCGGCATTTTTTCTGAGGAAATGGCTTCCTTAATTTGAAGGTATTTTTTTCAGGGTTGGGAATGAGCCAATCCAATCGCGCCATTTACTCGGGTGATTAATGATTTAAGAAGGTCCATTTTACCGTATCTCGTTCTACACTGTTAGAAATTTTTTGAAACTCCATGGAAAATACGGTTCTAATTCTCATTAGAGCGGCATTGAATCCGATTTAGGGTGAAAAATGTTATGAAATTTCACGTTTCAGGTAGAACTCAAGGAAATTAATGAGTTTTCAGTAGGAGCGGGACGAAAATGTAACAGCTTGACTGAATTTTCAATGAAACATGAATATTCGGAAGCTAAATGACGTGAATTTTCAATTTTTCCCTGAATTTTCCTGATTTTTCCGAATTTTCACAGAATAATTGAACTGAAAAATCAAGGATTTTCGTGATTTTCACACCATTCAAACAGAAAATCAATGGCATATTTGATGTTTTAGTGACAAGATTTCCTGAAAATTCAGTGGAAATTAAACGCGATAACAATTTTCGGGATTTGACACGGAACATTCAGATGAAAATTTTTAACAGTGTATTTTGAAAATACTACCAGAGATTTTGAACAATTCAACTGACGCTAATGTGATAACTCACAGTCTGTGACTTCAAATTCGGCTGTGAGGTGATAAAGGTGATGAAATACTCAAATGGAAATTCAAAATTTATTGCCTTTTTCTTATCGAAAATCCAATAGAATCGACGCAAAAAAAACAATTCAAATTTTCCAATAGAAATCCTATAGAAACCCCATAGAATTCCTGTAGAATTCCAATAGAATTTTCTAGCGAATTCGCTAGGTTTTCTATTGAACTGTTTCATGCGTGTTTCCACTGAAACTCCCCCAAATCGACTTTTAAATAACTAAATCTGTTGAAATTCCTGCGTAAATCAGTTGTAAATATCTCGCGATTTCTTTTTCGGAATTTGAAGTCAAAGTTCTCATCGGCGTCGATATTTTTCGATAAAACTCATTCGAAACGCTTCGTCTCAGAAATGTTTGCAGAATGTTAATGAATGTTTCAATTGGTTTTTCTATCACTATCACTTTCCATATTTAATTTCAGACTACATATATCACAATTAATAAAAGAATCAGGGCAACAAAAGCAGCATCTGGACGAGGGTGTGGAGGCGTGCAAGCTCCCTGAGTTAGACGTAAATAATCCCGAGATTCTGAAGTTTATCCACGATGTACCTCCCCTCAATTGCTCGTCTGAGGATTGGGTAACCGTCGAGGGATCGAAACTTTCTATCCAAGAGAAAGCGGTAGAACGATATGGCTCTATCACTTGTGCTTTCAGTGGTAAAGGAATCCCTCATTCATATCTAATATACCATAAACGGACTTGAAAAATTGAAAAGTTGGAGAAATTGACTTGGTTTGTATAATTTTATGGGTCTTCTTTTCTTGAATTCTTGAAGAAATTTTGAGATTGGACGACTACAGGGTTCAGCTGAGTCCCCCCCAGGAATCAGACGATGTCTATATTCTTCGTCTGAGTGATTTCGTCGACGTAAAATGTCAAGCATCAAGTGGAAAACAGTAAGTACAGGCTGAAAGTATTTGCACTATTTTTTGCTCAAAATACTTAATCTTTTCTGTGTTCTTTGCGTCCAAGAATTGGAGCATTCTAACTATGATTTTTGATTCCGAATGGAAGCATTGTAATCATTTAAAGTAGCTCTACCCTTACAGTAAATTCAAAGATTATTGAAAACTGCAAAAAAATTGCAGAAAACTCGATTAGATTCGGAATTCTAATTTTTTTCTCAATTTAGTTATGTTTTGGTTTTTTAAAGAAGAAATGTTTAAAAATCAGGATTTAACCCAGTGTCTTATGTGAAAATCAACATTTCACTGAAAATTCAGTAAAATTCCAGAATTTTAAGCAGCATAAAGACGAGAATTCCCTAATTTATTTAAATTTCCAATCTAATATGAATATTCAGTGCCAAATTACATTGAATTTTCAGTGAAATCTAAAATTTTGTGATTTTTCCCCCTAGATCGCATATATTGTCACTGTCCTGAAAATTCAAGAATATATTTACCGGAATTTTCTGGTTTTCTATTGATTTTCGGAGAAAAATGGAACTGAACTTTACAGTTCTTTTAGATTTTTCCACGAAATTCTGAATTTTTAATGACGAAAGTCCTTGAAATTTCAGTGGTCGCGCACGAAAAAATTTAATAGAAAAACCTATCGAATTCGTTAGAAAATTCTATTGAATTTCTATTAAATTTTCCAAGTTTTTTTCATTCTTTTTTTCTTTTCTTCTCATCAACACAATCAAACGAAAAAACTTAGAAAATTTGAGCCGAGGAAATTCTATCGAAAATATCTCAATAGAATAATTTATATAGAAAAATTGAATTATAACGAATTCGATAGGTTTTTCTATTAAATTTTTTCTTCCGTGGTAATTAACTTCAATAAAAATTTGCAAAAAGTGTACCCTAAATGTCAGACAAAAATTTTTAACAGTGTACTATGCGAGATAATGCGGAAGTATCTGTGAAAAGTGTCTGCTACTCTCAGTTTACTTCAGTTTTCAACATCTAATCGTTTTCAATAATGTTCCAGATGGCACAGCGTGCTTGCTGGAGTAAAACAAGACGAAAACGTCATGAAATCGACATCATGGGAAAATGTTCCAGCCACTGGAATGAAGCTGAACGTTCTTATGTTCGGTTTCGACTCACTCTCTCGTAACACCTTCATTCGAAAGCTGCCAAAGACTTATCACTACTTGAAACAGAATCTGAACACTCAAGTGCTTGAGGGCTACAACATCATAGGGGATGGCACTCCGCAAGCTCTCATCCCCATTTTAACTGGAAAAATCGAGTTGGAGTTGCCAGAGACACGAAAACGTATGGGCCCAAAGGCGAATCATGTCGACGTCTACCCTCTTATCTGGAAGGAGTACAAGAACAACGGATATATCACTGGGTTCATGGAGGATGTTCATCACATAGGGACTTTCACTTACAGATTGAAAGGTTTCGACCAGCAACCCACCGATCACTATATGAGGACTTTTTATCTCGCTGCATCTCCATTCTTCAGAAATTCTAAGAAATTTTGTTTGGGAGGAATTCCTAGGCATATGGTGAGTCTAAAGACTGAAGTGATAAAAGTGATGAATTAAGTGATGAAGATAGAACAGCCAAACTTAGCGCGAAATGTCGAAAGATGTTTTTTATTGTTTTTACTCGATCGATTCGTTACATTCCTACATCCTCAATCCAATTTATACACTAAGAGATATATAAAACTACTTTTGACTGAAAAGGTTTACTTGATACAAGAAAATATTCTCTTGTCAATTTTAACAATCGTAAAATCTCCTGATAAATAATTTCGTTCTCAAGACTAGAAATTATGTCTTTCCAATCAAGTCATGTAGTTTGTGTTATCTCTAGAATTTGCTTTCATCAGAACTTTCATTACATAAAATCTTGCACAAAGCGCACATCACTTGAGATGAATTTTTTATACACTTGAATTGATAATGAACGTGTTCGTCGTGCAATCGAAGAAATGATGTCTTTCCCATAATGTCATGTAGTTTGTGTTATCTCTAGAATTTTTTTTCCATCAGAACTTTCATTACCTAAAATCTTGCACAAAGAGCACAACACTTACGATCAATTTTCTGTACACTTGAATTGATAATGAAAGTGTTTGTTGTGCAATCGAAACAAGAATTCGTCAGTTGGAGATGATGAGTGATGCGGTAGGGAAAGTGTGAATTTTCAAAATCCATTAAATTCTAGACATTCTAGACAACGCAAACTATATAAATTTATGGGAATAATTATGCTAATACTTGAAAATTTTCTCGGGACAATAGAATCATATCCTGTTGAAAGATTTCTTTATCTCAGTGTGACCACAAACTTATTCACCAGGAGATTTTACGATTCTAGAAATTGACAAGAGAATAGTTTCTTCTATCAAGGAAATCATCTTCAACAAAGTAATTTTTTCTCTCAGTATACTTTACAAACATGTGAGGTGACCCTGGAATATGGGTTTTTTCTCAAATAACGATTTTTTGTGTAGAGAACAAGATTCTCCCTCACAAAGATTTCTTGTAGGCGAACAGAATTTACATTAAATTTAATTAATAATTGAAGAATTTAAAGTGAAATAATTGAAAGCAAAATTTGAACATAATTCACTTTTATGGAATGACATGAATTATTGTGAATGGATTGGCAAATTATTCAAGTGCGTTTTCACATTCCAGCTGATGTTAAACTACATTAAAAACATCTTCAATGTTTATCGAGACAAACCGAAGTTTGTGTTTGGATTCCACGGAGAATTATCTCATGATTCTTACAACGACATTGGAGTGGCTGATAATGATCTCTATCAGTGGGTGAAGGATTTGCAGGAGCAAGGACATCTGAATAACACGATTCTGATTTTGATGAGTGATCATGGTCACAGGTAAGTCCAGAAAAGACAAGCAGGGGGCAGCGAGCATATGACAACGCGCTTTGTGACAGTGAGCATGTCACAAAGTCTAATTCTAAGAGAAGTCAAGTAAGAGAAGTAAGAGAAGTCTAATGTCTAATTCTTTTTCGCCATCAATACATTGATGGCGGGCTTCCGAATGATCTGAAATATTACAAAAGTTTATAGCTTCACAACACTAACTAGCAGCAAAAATTTCAGATGGTTACTGCCACTTCCATGGGCGCTATCAAAATTGCAATGTTTCGAATACTTCGTATGAGCGGGTATACATATTTTCTGTCCAAATTTCAAGTTGATATCTCAATTTTTGCACAAGCTAGTGTTTCCAAAGTTTTTTATGAAAAAACAGAAAAACGGGAATATTTCGAAAATTAAAAAAAAAAATCGAAATCGGTCCACTAGTTTTGAAGATATTTGCGGAAAACGATTTAAAAATGAAGCGCCTTTTCTCAAAAACTGTTAACCCGATCGGACTGAAATTTTCCACAGAGCTAGTCCTCATTAGGACCTATAATCTGACAAAATTTCAAATTTTTTGGAATTACTTTAGCCACTTAATTACTCAATTTTCTAAAAATTGACCACTGAGAAGTTAGCGATGGACGTGATCACATACAGACGTGGTCGCCAAACTTCGTATCTTTTACATTTCAGACCATTCTACATCATTTTCAATCAAAATTAGAGAATGTGAAAATCAAAAGATTGCAATGCTTCCATTCGGAAGCAAAAATGGTCAATTGAATCATTAAATTTCTCATTTCTCATTTGTAAAAATTTAATTTCTCATTTTTACCGTGGTGTGTACTATCATAAAATCATAAAAGGAAATCCATCCGATATCACAAGGCCGTCGACTGCGCAATAGTCGCGAAAGTAAATGAGTGTAGAGGAAAATACGATGCGACCATTCGTATAGCCGACAGACTTTCCCTATAAAAAGTCCAAGTATTTTCTTCAACTGATCACAAATTGGTCAATAATGATCCTGAACTCGCGATTATTTATAGAGTGAATGATATTCTGTCTTTTATTCGCTCTACTGTATTCGGGACTTATCTTTTGAATCATTAAACTTATTATATTATCAACCTAAAAATATAACAAACGAAGAGATTTGCTGGATCATGTTGTGAATGTACTTCAGAATTCTGACAATTAATTACTTTCAATTTTTTTTTTAGATTTGCAGAGATCAGGAATACTTTGGCAGGAAAACAAGAGGAACGTCTCCCCTTCTTCTCCTTCACATTCCCTCCCTGGTTCAAGCAAGTCCATCCTGCCGCCTACGCTAACTTTGTCTACAACACTCGACATTTAACAACTCCTTTCGATGTTCACAAAACACTCCAGAGCATTTTAAAAATGACAACTCCAAAGGCGGGTGATCTCAGCCAACGTGATATTAGTTTATTTGACGAAATTCCATTAGAAAGGACCTGCGCTGATGCTTTTATCGAGCCCCATTGGTGTGCCTGCCTGGGCTGGGAAGAATTATCAACGATTAATTCTACTGTTACCACTGCTGCCAAAAGTTTCATCAAGTTCCTTAATTCTTATACTGAGGAGCATCGAGATATATGTGAAATGCTGAAGTTGGATCAGATCTTGTGGGCTGCTAGACTCATTCCAACGAAAGGTAAATAGATAGCAACATGAATTTCATCATCTGTACTGTGGTAACTGAAGATAAGAGTGAAGTGGTAAGAAAAAAATACGGAAATATTCTGGGAAAGAAGGCTTTCGGTGGGCAATAATGAGATACTTTCCTCATACCCGAAGAAATAGGGAACTCGCGGGCGAAAAAATTTAATAGAAAAACTATCGGTAAAAATTAACGGTAATACTCCTGATTTCCTTTCAGATTTTTCCTAGATCTTTCAAATTTATCATTATGTCGACTTATGCTGGCGCGGCGCTTACGGCGCGACCAACGGTGTTCGTAACTTTTGCGCGACCAACGGAGTGCTAAACCCATCACCTCCAGCTACTTCTATTAGACATATTAAATTAATCAAATACTTCTTGAGAATGGAATTGCAATTCCATATGCAAACAAATTTCACTCTGCTTCATGTCTGTACTTCAAGTTTAGGCTTCAGACATTTCTTTAATTTCCAGGATTGCTAAAGTTTCGACAATCAGGGGATAAAGACGGTTTTATCGGCGACTTTAGTGCAAAAACTCGCCTAACACATGAGATATACCAATTAAAAGTGAGAACCCAGCCTGGTGGTGGTCTCTTCGAGGCCAGCATCGATCATGACGTCGAAAGTAACACGTTCAGTACAAAGGTAATTTCACCAACATCCATTTTCTCCATCCATTTTTATCTATTTTTTTCAGTAAACATTTTCTGGTTATTCACATTGAGAATAATCCTGCACGAATGAAAAAATCGTATAGAAATTTTCTATACGGATTGCGTGTTAAATTTCTATAGGATTTTCGTATATGATATTCAGGTTCTTCTATATGGATATTTTTTATACAAATTATTTCTATACGATTTCTATAGGTTTGATCTTATACAAGCCACTGCCACATGTATAGAAACATTCCGTATGCAGTTGCGACATTTCTCTACGTTTTTCTCTGGAGCGTTTAGACATCTTTCGTATGAAAACAAAAATTTCTGTAAAAATTTATGTATCTGAAAATATGAAATTATATGAAAATTTCTATACGATTTTTTCATACGTGTGGTTCCCCTCCTACCTTATCGAAATCCCATCCAATTATTTCCTATGACGTCACAAAGATGTAAAACACTATATAAATTACGCTATATAAATTTTTTTTTTTCGTTCTTCAATGTAAAAATTGTGGAACACCGAGGAACAACATCAAAGTCAAATAATAATGATTTCGTCCCTCGAAATGCAAAAAAACGCCTCTCCATCATTATAAGGTCCTCATGTTCAAAATAGGAATCATATTTCTAATTCGTTCATTTTTCCCGTGTTTGCAGATAACTCACGTCAGCAGGATAAACAAGTACGGATCCCAAGCAAGATGCGTCGAAAATGAGTTCCATCACTTACGTAAATACTGCTACTGCAAAGATTGGACTTCGCCAGTATAAGTGTCACAATTACGAGAATAAATTTATCAGTAAAGTGGTGAAATTCGAGTGGTCCAAAATGACAGTTGTTTTTGCAAATATTTCTGAAAGTAATAGCTCCGCAGATTACTGTAGAGGAATTTTATTTTCTCGACCACGAAATTTTGTACAAAAAGGCCTAAAGCGTAGAATTCTGCTGACAGGTTGTAGCACCGATAATTGTTGATCATGGGTAAAAGTAGTATTAATCATATGTAAATAACCGGTTTGTCAGTTCCCGAATTCTGGTGAAATGTAGTGGACCGCTACATATTGATACTTTTCTCATTTCCTTCCTTCCAAAGATATTTGCGAAATAATCTGTAAATCTGTTTGAAACTAATTTTATGTTCTCTACCACTTCACTATTCAGTAATTATTCGAATGTGCTGTGATTATGTAATATATTAAGTACAATTAACAGATGGTTCTACGTGCCAATTCAATTTTTTTTACAACTGCGATATTTTTTCCTTTCTTCTACTCAATTCAGGGGAGAAAAAATGTGAGTGTTATTACTTGTCTCAATAGATCTCAAGACGTTCCATAAAGTAATTTCAAAACCAAAGTAAACTAGTGAAATACTTGAGGAAAAGTGAGGTATTCATAGTATTAATTCTTTACTTAATTTGATTTAATTCATTTAGTTTAACTGGATTTAATTGAAATCCTCGAATCATGTGGTCGGTCTCTCTCAATAGTCATTGTCATTTTAATGTAACAATTCTGCAGTGTTGACATGATACTGAAGTGCACAAAAACATTAATTTAAGATCAACAGCATACAATAATGATAAGAATGATTGTTGTAATAAAAATTTTATTGTGAAAAAATAATTTTGACTATTATTAATAAATTGAGGATTATTTTCATCGTTGGATTTATTTACCTTAATCTGCCTTCTAATTTGTAGTGCATATTTTATTGTGTTATTCAAAGATCCATATTTTCTAGCTTATGTACCAAATTGGTGAAGCAGCGTCGTTATTTCACGAGTGTTACGATTGATCAATAGAAATCCAATGTTCTGCTTATGAGTCGGGTTTCTTGGGAAATATGCCTCATCTTTTTTCGCGATTACTTCGAGTACTATTGTAGAAATTGTTAGAGTATTTGTGTCTTCCAATTTATGGACTCTGGAATTACATAATAGTAATCCGATAAAATTTTCATTCTCCAATGCTCAATTTCTGTTATTTATTTCATTCATTCTATGAGAAGACAAGGATAGAAATGGAATTTATAGGTATTCTTCCAAAACTTTCCGGAGACGTTGAAAAATTAATTTTTTTAGTTCTTCCCGTCCACTTTTTTTACATTTTTTCAATTTCTTCTCGCTGAAATATTGATATTCCTCTAATACTTGAAGAAAAAAAGTGATTCAAAGTTCTCGGGAACATAAAAGAAGAAAAAAATCCGTTTGCTAGACGATTATCCCTTTCTGATTCTTTTTTCCTTTCCTTTTCATAATAATAATTGGAATCGGACTATAGGAATGAGGAGTACCGATGTCATTTTCCCATATGAAAATAAAAATAGATTTTAAAAATTTTCAGGAATACATGGAACGATTTTTCTATCCAGGTATTCCCACCCCCGCACTGCCAAATCGATTCAAATACCTCACGAGATCTTTATAAATTTTCTTCGTACACTCCAGATATGGTTCCAATTGATCCTCGTATTGGCAATACTCTCCTCCAAGAATCAACATTTGAAAAAGTTTGAAGATGAACTCTGCCCTTTCGGTTTTCGAGAAGAGACGGTACTCATCGGACTCCTCGTCCAACAACATCTACAAAAGTTCACTCAAGAGAGATTCTTTCAACTGAAGCATTATCGATTAAGCAAACTAAAAATAGAACCGAGTTCGTCCACTAAATAAATAAAATTTTCTCTCCCTCACTTTTCGCAGATTGTCAGATACAAAAATCCCATCAATTTGCTCTTCACATTTTTGTCGAATGCTTCCAGAGTTGTAGATGATGTTATTCTCAGGATCCTTCAATTTTTCAAAGAAGTTCATCGATAAAACCGTACAGGGGATCTGATTGATTTCGACTTCATTGGCGACAATCCCCTCCTCTGAGAACGAATACTTTCCATCCCATATCTTCAAATGCTTTGATACTGCATTGTCTTTGAAAAACGCCTAGAAGATGGATAATTGAAGTGCAAAGATTATGCGATTCCAACATTTAAATTCATCTCGCTGCGAAAGAATAAAGTTTTAAGGTGAGAATATCACCGTTTTTTAGAAATTTTCAGACAAATTTCCTGCTCGAAGTTATTAATATTTTTCGAAACCAAAGCACATTGATCTTCATCATCTCCTGATGATTAATGAGCTTCGATAGTAAAAAAATATCGATAACTTCCGGTCGGAAATTTGGTCAAAATTTCGAGAAATAACCGGCTCTCTGTAACCCCTTTTGGATATCCAAGCATTTTTTACAGTTTGGTGCAGACCACGCTACAGATTCAACCATTTTTAATCATTACACGGACGAAAAAATGTAATAGAAAAACCTATTGAATTCGTTAGAAAATTCTATTGAATTTCTATTGAACTGTTCTATTAGTTTTTGGCCGATTCTATCAAAATGTTCACTAGAAATGCAGGGAGAGATGATCAGCAAGAAAATAAAAGAAAACTATTTTTTACTTTTCTGAAAAATTTAAAAACTGTTTTTTTTTAAATGATGAAAGAATATCTATATGTTCCCTTTCTATGATCTAATTCCAATGGAAGGAAGTGAAAAAAAGAACAGAGATACGTGATCAACAAGAAAATGAAAATTTCGATTTTTCAATGTCTCCGGAAAGTTTTTAAATTGATATGTTTTTTCAAATAATGAAAGAATACCCATCAATTCAATTTCTACTCTCACATTTTGATAGAATACATGAAAAAAATAGCATAGAATGAAAATCGAAGATGAAAAATTTTATCGGATTAATATAATGTAATTGAATAAGCTGTTAAAATTTTTGAAAAAATCAAAAGGGGCCGTTTTACCCCACTCTGCCTTGTATAATCGATCTTCAATTAGTATGAGAAATCTCACTCCAATCGGCCGCAAATTTTAAAACTCATGATAGTCTTCTATTAATAAGACTCATATAAAAAATTTGCAGTACACGGAGAGAAATATTCAGTAAAAATTACGGAACTCACAACTCGCTCACGGATTACGGAATCGACTCAGAAAATTTAAGTGACGGTATGGTAATTTTTCACAGGAGATTCAGATAAAAATTACCGAACGCTCTGGAAAAATTCCGTGACAGTTCCGTAAAAGTTCCTACAACCACATTTCCCTCCGGAATTACGGAAAAGATACGTAATTTTTATTGAATATTGTTCTCCGTGTAACCGATTTTGAAGTTAAATGAACTTATTCTGGCTTCATATACTTCACTATGGAATTTCCAATTTTCCTACAAAATATTCATGATCATCAATCAGCAAATTACCTCCGCCAACAGATACTTATGGTACTGATGAAAGGGCTCATTAAGCACGAAATTTTGAATCATCCCTAAGAAAGGATGATTTCTGAAAGGATTTCCCTAAGAAATTTTTTCTACTCCAAAATGAAGTTAAATGAACTTATTCTGGCTCCATATACTTCACTATAGAATTTCCAATTTTGCTACAAAATATTCATGATCATCAATCAGCAAATTACCTCCGCCAACAGATACTTATGGTACTGATGAAAGGGCTCATTAAACACGAANTTCAGATAAAAATTACCGAACGCTCTGGAAAAATTCCGTGACAGTTCCGTAAAAGTTCCTACAACCACATTTCCCTCCGGAATTACGGAAAAGATACGTAATTTTTATTGAATATTGTTCTCCGTGTAACCGATTTTGAAGTTAAATGAACTTATTCTGGCTTCATATACTTCACTATGGAATTTCCAATTTTCCTACAAAATATTCATGATCATCAATCAGCAAATTACCTCCGCCAACAGATACTTATGGTACTGATGAAAGGGCTCATTAAGCACGAAATTTTGAATCATCCCTAAGAAAGGATGATTTCTGAAAGGATTTCCCTAAGAAATTTTTCCTACTCCAAAATGAAGTTAAATGAACTTATTCTGGCTCCATATACTTCACTATGGAATTTCCAATTTTCCTACAAAATATTCATGATTATCAATCAGCAAATTACCTCCGCCAACAGATACTTATGGTACTGATGAAAGGGCTCATTAAACACGAAGTTTTGAATCATCAAATTGAGTCCCCTGAAACCATCAACAATTTCCATGAATAAAATAGTCTGCAAAAAATGTCAGCTCTTTGCTTGATTCCTTACCATTTCTGAATTAATTGTGCAACATTTTTATCACTCAATCCCGGATAATGCTTCTCGGGAACAGGAAGAAAGGTGTATTTCGGCTCTACCTCCATTCTTAAAATATCTCATTCAATTCGAAATCGCTACCATGACAACGTCGATCGATCGCAGCGGCAACGGAGCCACCTTTGAAAAGGTTCTTTTTTCCTCCAAAGTCACTCATGCTGATTGTTTGGGACGTGTGGAATGTAATCGATAACCGGGCGAATTTGCCATGGCGCCGGGTCAACGCCACAGACAATTATTTTACGTGAAAAAGGATCACAAGAAGAGTAATAATGTTAAAAAAAAGACCAAGTGAGTAATTTTCATCAATTCTTCTCATCAATTGAGCCTTCTTATCAATTTTACGTTTTGGAGCCATTTAACCTCACTTTCTGCTCCAAAATATCACTTGCATATTTTGAAATAAAACGTGAACATTTAGTGCAACGCCTCAGAATAAATTATTGTCAAGTTGGAAAAGGCTTTCACGAGTTGTTAAATAATTTTGCAGACCCCAGGAACGCTCTTCTGAGATGCCCCTCATTTACCCTGGAGGTGACATAGCCTTCAAGCTCCTTTTGACAGCTAGATTCTGCTCGGCTATTTGGAGCTACATAAGTGACTGCGATGAAACGTTCAACTACTGGGAGCCCGTGAGTCGATGAACCAATCTTTTTTGTTATGATTTGGATTAGGTACAGGAAAGAAGAAGATTACGATCCCTTTGGCGCCACTATTTGACATATGCTTTCCGTACCATTTTAAAAATAAAGAAAAATAAAGAAAAAATTCCCTCTCAATTAGTTTTTGGGATCTGAGCATTTCAATAATTATTTTTTAAGATATGAACATTTCCATAAAGCTTGTTATACTTGTTATACTTGAGACAACAATTCATGCACTCACATTCCCACATTTGAATTCAATAATTATATTTACAACCTCAAAACAACAAAACTCAATTTCAATGAAAATTTTTGTTTATTTCAAACAAAATCTTCAACCAAAAAATTTATGATAAAACCTCATTCAACCACGGCAGTGTCCTTTTTTTAAAAAAAATAAAAATGTGAAGAAAATCAGAAAGTTGACTTTTGGAACAAGATTAATAAAATAATTAAAAAATTCCAATTTTTGAAAATTACGAGTACTTTCGATGAATAATTTATAAATAATCAATTTTCACCATAAACATCATTTGTTCGCAATCATAAGAAATTTATTCACACTCAGAATTTTACCAGATATCGATCTCATGCCTAAAAAAATAAAGTTTCCGAAAGGTTAAACAATTTCAATGATTTATTTATAAACGACGAATGTTTAAAAAAATAATAATTCTGTGCAATATGTAATTTGAGTGACGCTGAATATTTATAATTTTTTTCAAATTTTTCTCATCGCATATTGAAAAATTTGACGGTTAAAAATAGTTAAATCTGTCGTGTGGTCTGCACCAAGCTATTAAACATATTTAGGAAATCCCGGTTGGGACTATCCAATTTCTTCAGTAAATTTTTCTTGTAAACTGATATTGAGAATTATTCTGGTTCCCCCCCTACCTACTCCAAAATCCTATCCAACAATATCCTGCGACGTCACAAGATGTGGAACGCTATAAACTCCCGTCTTCTGTGAAAAATCTCCATAATTCTTCTTTTTATTTTTATTTCATTTTTATCACTTACTTCATTATGCTTATGTGGAAAGCTTAAGTGTTAATGCATTATATACTGTTTTTAAAAAAATTTTTTCATTTTCATTTTTATTTTTATTCTTATTTTTATCTTATTATTTTTCTTGCTAACGTTATTTAAAAGCAATGTCCACTCGGGCTTAAAAATTTGTTTTTGTTTTTTGGTCAGATATATATTTGTACAACATAATGTACAATCAATAAAATGTTTCAATAGCAATATCAATATATTCAGGCGGAATAATGGAGATGGAATTTTTTCATTATTTTTCCCGTAATCCCGAGGGAAAATGCTACGAAAAACATGTTAAATCGTGGTGCTAAAAGAATCGTAATGATACCCCTGAAAAACTTATTTCAATCGATAAGCAATTTTAGTGATCAATTGCTTGCGGTCATGTAAAATTAATAGTTTTGTGAACAGGATAAACAGCGATAGGTGAAGATGCGTGGAGTATAAGCCGATAAACTTTACCATTTATCCGCTATATTTTTGTATCATCAAATTCATGAGGTTGATACATACTTTCCTTGCTCCAGAGCCACTATTTATTATATGGAAAAGGCCAACAGACGTGGGAGTACAGTCCAGAGTACGCCTTGCGCTCCTACACGTACCTTTTGATCCACATGGTGCCAGCAATGATTTATCATTACATTTTGGAGCCAAATCCGGTGCTCGTTTTTTATTTTGTGAGATGCTTGCTGTCAGTAGGATGTGCGTTGTCTGAAGTTTACTTTTATCAGTAAGTTCCATGTATTTTTGATTTTTTCAGTTAATCTCCCAACCTGGATAGTAGAAAATAAATTTGCTCATGATTCTGTGCTTTCTAGGAATGTTTGCAAAGAATTTGGCGTTCATGTTGCCAGGCTCACTTACGCCTTTCTCATCACTAGTTCCGGAATGTTCATCGCCAGTGCTGCCTATTTACCATCGTCTTTTTCAATGTACGTATTTAATTTTAAAAAAAGAACACGGTTATTGTCGGACGAATTTTAACTATTTTATTAATCAATAATTTAGGTAGGAATATTACCGATTATTTGGTTAATCGATAATCTCTCTTAAGAAATTAGAAATATACACTTGATGGAAAATTTACAGTTCTATATTATCAAATATTTAATTCATCATCAATCGGAAATTTACACTATTAATATCCTATTATTTTTAAATTTTGATGAATATATTTAAACATTCATCAATGTAAGTCGTAAATCCTTTTAATATTGAAGAAATATAATATTGATGGCCATCTCTGATACACAGATACATATTTTGTAAAAACATCGTATCGTCATGTTTCAAATTTTTTTTACAGATTAATGGAGAAGAAATATTGCTATTGATTGCCTGTCCTTTATGTCTTATTTTTATATTTCACAGCCCTAATTTGATTTCTATTATATTTAGGTATTTGAGCACTGTTGCGATAGCCGCCTGGTACGGAAGAAAATACGAATTAGCAGTTTTTGCGACTGCAATTTCGACACTTCTGGGCTGGCCTTTTGCAGCTCTTCTTGGGTAAATAATCATTATTTCAGTACAGAATGATGTTATTACCTGGATAAGATATACACCCGGAAATTTGCTCTTATAACCATTTCTTGCTCAGATTAATGCTTAATTATACAATAGTTTATTACGATACAAATGAAACAAGTGGACAGTGACCTTTTTTAATAAATGAATATAGCGATTGTTGCTAATAAATTAGCATTTTGCTTCTGAATGGATCCTCTTTTTTTCAATTCTTATTTTACTACTGTCTTCTTCAATTTTTTCATGGCATAGTATTATCATCAATTGAAATGTCATCAAAATTTTGCGTATTATTTCGTTCTGTCAAGTCATTCTACATCCAGACCCTCTCAAGACTCGAATTCGTTTCAAGTTCGGCATTGAAATATACTTTCCAGGCCCTGATTCAATCGCTGTTACTGACGATTCCTTCAGTAATCATGAAAAAATCGATTTTGTGAAAAATATCAATTTTTTCAAATCTGCACGAAAAATTAAACTTCAATTGGTGTCAAAGAATAGAGCATATTAAGGTCTATATTGATGAAGAATCCATGAAATTCGATTGATCCCTTATAAGAAAATTTCGAGACAAACAATTAAGAAAAAAATTTTCTAAAAATTACATATTCGGAGTTTTTAGACCATATTCAATTACCCTAACACAAAAAATTAAAAACTTAAGGCCCGGGTGTACTATCTTTCGACCGTTATCTCGATGTTTTAGTTCATCTTTCGTCATCTGAAATTGTCAATTGAGTCCTGCATCATGCAGAAGTTTTGAAAAATTATGAATGAATAACAGAAAAAAAGTAGAAGAAATTCGTAATTTTTTCAAGGCGCATTTTCAATTTATATTCTGAATAAGCTGAATAAAAAGAAATTGAAAAATGCATCTGATTTACGGTGACAAATGGCGGCCTGTCACCCAATGTCATGCAGGGGGAAGACTGATTTCGTAAATCTTTTCCCACACTGCACAGAGACATTTATTACGGAAAAGGTCCTTTGAAAAAAGTTGTAATATTTTGGAGAATTTTTTAATCACACTTTTATCACATGAAAATGGCAGATGACTACCTATCACTGTTTTGAAAATTGAGATACCTAACTATATCACTTCCCATGAGGAGTTAGTGTTTTGTTATCCACCATGGAAAATGACAGCTAATAGATAATTTGTCACAGCGAATCAGATATTTGTAATTTCCACTTTTTTCAACTCATTCTGAATCTCAATTAAAAACGCTCTTTGAAAAAGTTCAGAATTTTTTCTATTTTTTCTATCATTCTATCATAATTTTTGGGAATTTCTACATGACATACCACTCAATTGACAATTTTGGATTACCAAAGATAAAAAAATCCAGATAGCATTCGAAAGATAGTACACCCGGGCCTTAAATTAGTGACAAAAAGGCGGTTGTTTGTTTTGTTTTTCACTTGTATTATAAAATTTAATATTTCACGGAGAGAAATATTCAGTAAAAATTACGGAACAATTCACGTAATCCACAGTGGGGAATCGTTTTCCGGAAATTTTTATAGGAATGGAAGAGAAGAAATCTGAAACGTTCAGCGAATCCTCAGGTTCATCACCGATCAAAATACGCAATTGTCACGTAATTTTTCCCGAAGAAGTAAAATCTTCCAGAAACTTGCCGACTTATTATGCCTCGAAAATAAAAAATTCTTGAACGTTCAACAATTTTTATGAACCTGGTGAGTTATTTCTACATTCCGTTCCGTAAAATTTCTCAATCGTTGGGGAAAAATTACGGAACGACTTCTTGTTCCCACACCGGTGAATTATCAGACGGTGGTTAATTTTTACGGAACAAATCGTAGAATTTACTTGGCGATTCGTAGAATTTCCATTCCGACTCACACTTTTTATTGAGTTTTACTTCCCCCGCGGATTACGTTTCGAAATGTAATTTTTACGTTTTTTTTTCTGGTAATTTTTATTGAATTTTTCTCTTCGTGTTGAATTGAATTCACTCCATTACTAATTTGCATTCAAAGAGGAAATGGCATCCATGTGTTAATGAAGTGTTTCCTTCATTCTAATTGTATTGCACAGAGTTCCAATTGCACTGGACATGTTAGCCAGAAAAGACTGGACAAGATTCATAAAATGGACTGTCCTTTCCGGCATCGTAGTCCTTGCACCCATGATCTGGCTCGACTCCATGTGCTATGGAAAACTAGTGATTGCACCACTGAATCTCATCGCCTACAACGTCTTCACTAGTCATGGACCTGATCTCTATGGGACTGAACCTTTCAGCTTTTACTTTATCAACGGTTTTTTGAATTTTAACTTTGTGTTCATTGGGGCTTTAGTAGCCCCGCTAGCATTGGTAAGAAATTAGGACAGAATCGTGTTAAAATTACATTTTTTTATGTCATCAATCTATTTTTAATTCCGATCAATTTTTATAATTCTCAGCTCTCAATTTGGGCAGTTGTTCCAGCAAGGCCAAGGCATCGTTATTGTTTACCTTACTGGGTATCATTAGCTCCTCTCTACTTATGGATTACAGTGATGTTTATTCAACCGCACAAAGTGAGTTAATTTAATGTAGTTGAATGAGTTTTTTTGTTACAATTAGCGAATTAAATGACTCATCCACTATTGAATTATTGCTAATTGCAGGAGGAACGCTTTTTGTTCCCAATTTATCCAATGATCTGTTTGGGAGGAGCAATAACAGTAGATTGCATCCAGAAGCTCTACTTCTTCGTTAGAACTAAAATTAAACCCTTTGCGAATGCTTCCCACTACCTCCAAGGAACTTCACACATCACGGTCGGTGCAATGGTTCTCTGTGGGCTCTTAGGACTCTCAAGGTCTTTCGCATTATTCAAAGGGTATTACGGACCGATGGAAATAATGACTGAAGCTAATAAGCTTGGAATCGAAGAGCAAGTCCCTAATGATATACGTATCAACTTTTGCGTGGGAAAAGAGTGGCATCGATTTCCAGGGAGCTTCTTCTTTCCATCTAATAGGTAAGGCATCGATGAAAAACTTCTGAAAGGATTGAATCATTAAAGAAATTCTTTTAAGGATATCCAAGTTCTTTGGGTATCTTTTCAACGGTGAAATGTTTGCGTACTTTTGTAGTCAAATATCAGAGCTTTCATTTTAGCCCCATTTGACCCTAAGTTTCCGGACATTTTACAATGATTTCATTATTTAAACTTTGCAGTTCTAAATTTGAATCTCGAGATTATACCGTAAGAAAACATTTTCATAATCTGAAAAAAAATTGGAAAGTTTACTTTTGGAGAAATATTGAGAAAAAAAATTAAAAAATTGCAATTTTAAAAAATTACGAGCATTTTCTGTAAATAATTTATAAACAATTAATTTTCCACCGTAAAAATCATTTGTTCGAAATCGTAACAAATTTATTCATATTCAGAATTTTACGAGAGATCGATTTCGTGCCTAAAAAAAGGAGATTTCCGAAAGTTTAAACAATTTCAATTACTTATTCATAGACAACGAATGTTTAAAAAAAATAATAATTCTGTGCAAAACGTAATTTGAATGATGCTAAGCATTCATGATTTTTTTCAAATTTTTCTCCCGCAATTTAATTGACAAATTTGATGATTGAAAATGCTTAAATCTATGGTATGGTCTATACCAAACGGTAAAACATACTTCGATATCCTTAATGAAAGAAAATATAAATTTTTTTGTTGATACCTGGAATTTGCACATTGTTTCGCAAATATCTTTAGAACGGATGGATTAAATTTTTTTGACAATTTTGTCTAAAGCTATTGTCACCAGAGATACGTACGAATTAATTTGTACAACATTTTTGAATTTATATTTGTTCACAACTTGTCAACAGCGTTTAATCATTGAATTATCTTGGCAATAAGCCATGCCACGAGAAATCACCAAAAGATTTTTGCTAAACATTGGACGGAGTGCAAGAAAATTCGTTCACATTCTCTTCTTATCCTACTAGTTTAATCTCATCTATTTTGTCTCTTTACCATTGAGCTACATAATTAATTTCAGAATTGTTTTCCACAGGTGGCAACTCCAGTACTTGAAGTCAGAGTTTAAGGGACAACTTCCCCAACCCTTTCCACCTCTCCCAAATGGCACAAGTATCATTCAACCTCATTTCAATGATATGAATAAAGAAGAGCCATCTCGTTATGTAAGTCAAACAACATGACAAGTATAACCGCTCAACTCATATCTGTCCTATTCATTTTGTTTTCAGTTCGATATTGAGAAATGTCATTTTATTATGGATCTGGATGCTGGTACTGAGACAATACTGGAGCCTAATTACTCTAGGCAGACTGACGATTTTGCAATCGTGAAATCATCAGAATTCCTAATTCCCTCAAAGTAAGAATTTTTCAATCTTCATCTAAATAGTGAAATGATCAAATGGATGAAATGAAGTATAAGATATTTCTCTCATGAAATAATGTTAGCAATGAACCGTTGTGATGACTAATGTTAAAGATCGTTATTGTAGATGAAGAGAATTCTCTTTAAAACAAGTAGATCATTGCATTTTTCTGGGGTCAGTGGGACAAAATGAAACAGTCGAAAAATGACTGACACAATTTAAGCAAAAAAAAAATTTTCATCATTTTTAAAAATTTTTTTAGCAATTTGCGTTCGAATGAGTTCTCTTTTTTTTCTTCTCATTTCCCTATTCTCCTCTTTTATTTTTTCATGTCATAGTAGTATCCTCAATTGAAATGTCAACAAAATTTTGCGTATTATTTCGTTGTCAGATGTTTCTGCAATGACCGACTGACTGATGATTCTTTCAGTGGTCATGAAAAAAAAAAGATTTTTTCTTGCAAATCGCATAAAAAATGTGCTGTAGGAATAACAGGGTATTGTTATCAATTTTTTCAGTTAACGTTAAAAAAATTTGTTTTTGGAAAAATTTCAACTTTTTCAAAACTGTAAGAAAATTCAATTTTAATTGTTGTCAATGATTAGAGCTTATTAAAGTCTATATTGATGAACAAATCCATAAAATTCGATTGATCCCTTATAAGAAAATTTCGAGAAAAAAATGAAAAAAAAACACATACATACAAACACCATCTAAAAATCGCATATTCGGACTTTTGCGTTCATTCGGAAGCAAAAAGAACTCCCCATTAGTCCCCACCAACATTCCTCCAGCATTGAGATAATAAATAAGATTATATGCAATGCATCATCTCAAACTGCGTCTAAAATCGCGAATTACTTCATTAATTCTCGTTGTCAATAAAAAGTTAAGTGAACATTGAAATAAACTAATTTGTTAACGTTTCAGATCTCATCCATTCTTCAGAGCCTTCTACATTCCCTTCCTTTCCCGTGATTACTGCAAATTTGGTTCCTACAATCTTATAAGAAGTGCCAAATTCAAACTCCTTCCGCAATCTTCGAAAGCCAAAACAGCCACAGCCGCATAAACTGCAGCAGTAAACCATCTACATTAATCAACGACTGATCAATATTCATTTTACTTAACACGAGTGTACAATAAAAACGTCAATATTTTTCCATAAGTTAACTTTCTTACTTGTTCAAAACACCAGATCCTGTCCTCTGCACGAAATTAATAATTCTAGGAAACGTGGAGATGTAGTCCAGTCGATACGCTTCGAAGTGCGTCAACTGAATATATGAGTCAAGTTAACTGCAATACTCGTTTTTTATTACTACTTTTTGAACCGCAAGAAAATAGCAATTCATTCTGAGATTATCCTCAATCCAATGCTTTTTTTATTACCGAAGAGACAAAATTATTCAGTATCACGCAATGTAAAGAAAATAGTTCGACGAAGACCTTCTTTGTGCAAAAAGGTGAGAGCTCCAAGACAGATCTCAATCGACATTTTGCTATTTCCCTTCGAATATTTTTCTGGAATATTTTTCGGACGTAATTTTTGAAACGAGAAAAACTGTCTGAAAAATTTCATCAAAGGTTAGTTTATAAGAAATCCTGCAGAATAATACTATGGAGAGTTCGGACATTTTTATACAGTGTTCCAAAAATCTCGATCAAAATTTTAACACTTCGTTGCTCGCGCAAAATTTACGAACGCCGTTGGTTGCGCCGTAAGCGCCGCATCGCACCAGCATAAATTGACATAATGATGAAAAAACTTTTGATGTTCAACTACTCACAATAATAATTTTATGCCATAAGTACCGAGAACCCCGCGTTCCAACCGAACAAAGTGAAATTAAAATTCGCGGTTTGTCTGTCCTCGGGACGTAATATACTATTTTTTATATATATGTACATATTATTCTATAGCATCCTATAGCATTTTATCATATGTGAGCTAGAATGTTTTATTTTATTCCAACTGACGAACACGCAGTATTGGACATGTGTCCGGACATTGGGCATGTGTGGACGTAATATACTATTTTTTATGATATGTATGTACCGATGGATTTCGAGTCTCAATTTTGTGTGTTACTTTCTATAGAAAACCCTATCGTGAATTCTATAGGAAATCCTATAGGAAATGTTCGAATTCTCCATAGGATTTCCTATAGGATTTTTCATACGCGAGTAACCGAAAATTGCACACTTTTCGAAATAATGTAAAAAATTCATGCCCAAATAGTCTTATAGAAAAAATTCCAAAAGAATATTCATATAGAAAAATCGAAATGAATTGACTTTTTCCTATAAAATATCTCATAGAATCACCGCAAAAAATAAATGGAATTTTCTAGCGAATTCGCATAGTTTTTCTATTTAATTTTTTCATAGGTGAAGTTATTATTCAATAAAGTTAAAAAATTTTGTATTTCCTAAAAAAACTTCTTGAACGAAATTTCTATAAGGGAGTACTTTACGAAAGTTCTGGTCAATCCCATGAAGAATTCGAAGAATATGCCCATCTGAAATATGAATTTCAATAAACGCTCCGCTTGAAAATGTTCCTATAATAACTGTCAAAATTTTTTTATTGGATTATTGTACTGGATCTAGGTCCTAATCTTCTCGTTAGATCTTCGGACATCTTCATACCTTCTAAATTCGGCGATTCGTTGCTCGATCTTAAATTGCGTTGATCTCAAGACTTCAATTTTCATTTTTAAAATCTTCTAGAACCTTTTCTGCAAATGTAAATTTCCTGCAAAGAAAAAATTTCCCCGGAAATAATCTTTTTTTCCCCAAAAATCAATCCAAGCGGAACCAACCCATCGGATTCCACCCCTTCATTCGCAGTTCAGGGGTTCAGAGTGGGGGAGAACTTGCGAAACAACCATTTTTAAATCCCCATGCACCTACCGCTGCGAGTGCAAGCATCACTCGTAAGTCTACCGGAACAGCTGTTTACACAACACTGATAAAATGTTAATATTTGATTCATCTTAGCTGGATTGAATTTTAGTATCGGAACCACACTCGCGTAATGCGTATCTGTTCTCCAATAGTGTTATAAACCGTGATACAGATAAACATCCGGTGAAAAAAGTGATTTGGGGGCGAGAAAATGGCAGATGTGGATGAAGCTCAATTACTCCCCAAGAGCATTAAACTGCCACCAGCTGTCGAGGTCTTTGCAAATTTAAAAAATGCACAGAACTTTGCCATTGACATAGGTAAATAGAAACCCAATTTTTGCTTTTTCGAGGTAAAAAATGGATAATTGCGTGTTGTGGTGAAATATCATGATATTTGAGGTTACATTCTATTGGATTTTGCAATGTTTTGTATTCATTTTTTATTCGTTTTTTGTCTGTTTCACGAGAGTAGTCAAAGTTAATGGGAATGAGTCGGAAACTATGACTTTTGTGCATGCTGCACGAGTATTGACTGAGAGGGAGAGAGAGAAAGAGACGGAGTCAGAAAATATAAAGCGAAGTACACTGAGAGAAAAACGACGAAGTTCTCAAACAAGTCTTGCTTATGCCAAGAAAATATTTTTTTGAAATCTATCTAAAAAGGATTTTTTTGTGCCAAACATGAAGAGAGCACGGACGAAAAAATTTAATAGAAAAACTTATCGAATTCGTTAGAAAATCTATTGAATTTCTATTGAACTGTTCTATTAGTTTGTGGCCGATTCTATTGAAATGTTCAATAGAAAATATTCAGTAGAAAAAATCAATAGAATTCAATTTTTCTATATAACTTATTCTATTGAGACATTTTCTATAGAATTTCCTCGGCTCAAATTTTCCAAGTTTTTTCGTTTGATTTTCTTGACGAGAAGTAAAGAAAAATAGAGGGAAAAAAACTTTGAAAATTTAAGTCGAGCAAATTCTATAGAAAAATCGAATTCTGTTGACTTTTTATATTAAATGTTTTCTATTGAACATGTCAATAGAATAAGCCAAAAACTAATAGAAAGTTTAAAGAAATTCAATAGAATTTTCTAACGACTTCGATACATTTTTCTATTACATTTTTTCGTGCGCTTAATGTCATTTCCAGCACTACTCCTTCGTTATTCGATACTCCCATACGTATTTGCTCCCGAAAAATGTTTGTTTCATGCGAAACAAGGGATAGTCGTTTTCCGTTTCGGCTATCTAATAATCTCAGACAAGAAATGACCCCTAAGAGGCAATGGAACTTACCATCAGAGTAGAAACTAGATTCCAAGTTTATTCGTTGTCAGAGGACTATTCAGCAAAACCCAAATTCTTACACTATAGATATCAAGATTATTGATGATGTAAGAATGTGGGTTTTGCTAAATAGTCATCTGACGACGAAAAAACTTGAATCCAGGAATCCAGTTTCTACTTTGATGGTAAGTTCCATTGCCTCTTTAATGAAACAATAATAATGATAGCAATCTTAGCGATAAAATAGCAATCTTGTAACTTAGCGATAAAATATGTGGGCGTCCACATGAAAAGGGCCCACTTTGACGGTATTGGAGTTATGTATGTTCCGATAATCTTGATCAGATTTCATACATTTTGAGCCCAAAATCAACCCGATAGAATGAAAACTGACGTCAGTATAGACTATCAAAAAAACAATTTAACATTGGTTTAAATGGGAGATGTGGAGAGAAAAACGTGAATATCTCGGAAACTCGATCCGACAAAGTGGGCCCTTTTCACGTGGAGATACACATATTTCTTGATAAATTTTGCTCTATATGAGATATTTTCATCCTGAAAAGGCACCGTCTCGTATGAATTATCTACCTCTTGAGCCAAATATTTCGTTGTTGTTGAAAGCAGAGCAATTATTCATGTTTGCAACTTTCAAATTCTAAACAAACTAATTCTTTTTTGGCAATTTTCAACTAGCGATTTTGTTGGGCCAAACAAGACTTGTTTGAGAACGTGGTTGTTTTTCTCTCAGTGCAGACAAACTCACAGTATCACTAGTTGGCTCCGGACGATTTGATCTCTAATCAAACATAAGTGAACCCATTACCGTTGAAACCGTCTTGTTCTTGATTATTCTTGATTTTCTACAAGACAAGAATCGGAATAGGGGAGGGTGCGGCAATAGAGCACCAGATTTAAATAATGAGTTGAATTGGATCGAATCTACTGTTCCGAATTCATTTGAAGTTCATAAAAACAAACACATTGTCATAACACTGCGTCGTAGGAGTTGTAAGGTCAAGCAAAAACGGGGTAAATGGACACTTCGATTTCTTCCTCAATTTTTTATGTTTCAACAATGTTATTCAATTTCTGAAACTCTAGTCATGACTGCGATTTTCATGATGAGAAAAAAACTCATTTTTGACTTTTGTCGTGCTTGCCCCGCTGTTTCATTAATCATTAATATATTTGAACCTTGATCAATGTAAGTCAGAAATTCTTTTGAAGAATGAAGAATCGGAAGATTGATGGTCATCCCTATTTTGCAGGTCTCTCTTTAACGAAGATCGCCTACTACTCCACAATCAGTTACCGCAAAGTTTTTTACGACGGCGAAGATAGTGATACCCCAGGAGATGGCACCTATAAGCTACAAAAAGGCAGTCGCCTCCACTTCGTCAAGTTCGAGACTCGACACATCGAGAATTGTCTTGACTTCGTAAAAGAACACTTGGTAAACGCTGAGAGATTCCAGGGAAAAAGCATCAAAGTCACCGGTGGCGGAGCTTACAAGTACACCTCATCAATCCAGTCAAAATTAGGCCTTCTCGTCGATAAAGAAGACGAGATAGGCTGTCTCATCAAGGGATGCAACTTCCTCTTGAAAAACATCCCCTGCGAAGCCTTCGAATTTGAGAGACATAGAAATCCAGAGTACAAATTTGAAAAAGCAGGTCCAAACATCTTTCCTTATCTTTTAGTGAACATTGGGAGTGGCGTTAGCATTTTAAAAGTGGAATCTGAACGAGAATACGAGAGGGTTCGTACTAATTTTGTTTTATACGAGACAATAATCTAGTGAAATGGGGAAACAAGAAGCCTACGGTAACATTGACACTGTATTTTCTTGACAAAATGGGCTATTAACAAACAATTCAGAACAATCCTTTATTTTTTGCCATATGTAATATTTTGCATTAAGTTTAAGTTTTCGGACATTTTACAATGATTTTACTATTTAAACTTTGTAGGTCTGAATTTGAATCTCGATATTGAATCGTCAGAAAACAAATTGAAAGTTTACTTTTGGAGCAAGATTGATGAAATAATTAAAAAATTGCAATTTTTGAAAATTACGGTCATTTTCTATAAATATTTTCTAAACCACCATAAAAATCATCTGTTCGGAATGGTAACAAATTTACTGACATTCAGAATTTTGTCAGAAATCGATTTCGTTTCTAAAAAAATAAGGTTTCCGAAAGTTGAAACAATTTCAATTATTTATTTATAAACCCCAAATGTTTAAAAAAACAATAATTCTGGGCAAAAATGTAATTTTAATGACGCTGAATATTCAAATTTTTCTCACGTAATTTGATTAACAAATTTGATGATTGAAAATAGTTGAATCTATAGTATCGTCTGTACCAAACTGTTTGATTATTAATTGACAGCCTAAATAAATCCGTTCCGATGGATCCGATGAATTTGAAAAATTCATCGAACATTTTCTGAATTTGTGCATTGACTAATTCAGCAGCGAAGTGGTAAAACGGTATGAGTCAATTTTCACTATTGACCAGTTTTGAATCAATATCTCGGAATCTAAGAGAGATAAACTTTTCTCATAATCTTTTTTGTGGAGCCGATTGAGTGCTACAACAAGTGTAATTAGGAAAATTTCGCTATCTCCCTTAGATTCGGAAATATTCCTCAAAAACTCAACTGGGAGATGAGTCGACTTAAACCCTTTTACCACTTCGCTACTGAATTAAAAAATTGTCGAGCTGCGAATCTCATCTCCTGAACCACTAGGACTGAATGCATAACTAATTGCGTCATTCTCTCAGTTCTAAAGTTCGCATTTGATGAGATTCAAATAACAGCGAGAAAGAAAAATGTACCTCGCCAACATCTGAAGAATTACGAATGACAGCAAAAGCCGAAAGCAATCTAATGTACATATGCCACAATCTAATGTAATCTAATGTAATCCCACACACTTGATTTTTAATTTAATATACATATACCATGGTCGATAAAAATCCTCGAAAAACTGTTAACTATTAATTTTTAATTCCCCAGGTTGGAGGAACAGCTACTGGAGGAGGGACATTCTGGGGTCTAGGATCCCTCCTCACTAAAGCAAAAGGTTTTGATGAATTGTTGGAGTTAGCAGAGAGAGGAGATCACAGAAATGTTGATATGCTGGTGAAGGATATTTATGGAGGTGATTATTCGTCCCAGGGACTTTCTGGGGACTTGATAGCTTCTTCCTTCGGTAAAGCCATGTCCTGCAACAGTGTCAAAGGCGATAAAAGCTACTCAGACGCTGATGTTGCCCGAAGTCTTCTATTTACAATCAGCAATGACATAGGACAAATCGCGAGTTTATATGCTGCGATTCACAACATGGACAAGGTTTACTTCGGAGGATATTTCCTGAGGAATCATCCGTTATCGATGCACACTATCTCATTTGCTATCAAGTACTGGTCGGGCGGAAAGGTTAAACCATTGTTTCTGAGGCATGAAGGGTATCTAGGAGCTATTGGAGCTTTTTTGTACGGAGCTGAGCAGAGTAATGAGTACAGCTGGCTCGAGAATTACGCTGGTAGCTCTGGGTTCAAGGAATCGATAGCTACGGATATGGGAATTAAGATGGATCAGCTGGAAATTGACAGAGCAGAAAATGCTGTGACTTTCTGCCCGCTTCTGAGGGACCCGGCTTCTTATTGCCCTGATACTACTGATCTTGCCCAGGATAAGGAAGCTAGGTGAGGGTCTTTAGATAATAATTTATATTAAATTTCTTACATTTCTTATATTAATCTTAAATTAATCCTAATTAAGATAAATATAACATGTTATATTAATTTTTTTTTAATATTGATTTTTTTTTATATTAATTTTTTTTTATATATCTGTAATAATAATAAGAATAAGAATGATAATACTAGGGGACGGTGGGGCAAAATGAAACACGGGGCAAAATGAAACAGCAAGAAAATCTTGTGATCTAAGGGAGATAGGAGGATTTTCTTGAGAACCTTTTTTGTAGAGAATTTTACAAGCTACAAAAATAAAAGCAGGTCCAAACCTGCTTTTGTAGCTTGTAAAATTCTCTACAAAAAAGGTCCTCTTCAAAAATGTCCTATCTCCTTTAGATGACGAGATTTTCCCACTGTTTCATTTTGCCCCATGCTCCCCTAATAAAATGTAATAATTATAAAACTGGAAAATCAATTATTTGAAATAATAATAATTCTTTTCAGTAAAATATAATGATAGTTTTTTTAATCTATTAAATTAATCCTAATTAAGATAAATATAAGATGTTATATTAATCTTACTTAGGATTAATTTAAGATTAATATAACATATTATATTTATCCTTCTTTATTTTTTATATAGAATATTAAAAGAAGCATCACGTTTTGAGACGAATCGGTTTATATTAATGACTTATTTCGCTCTAGGGATTATTGGTTGCAGTGTTTCGAAGAATCAATCGACAAATTCATTGCAAGGGCCATTTATAGTCAACCCCAAAGTCCTACTGCCAAAGATCGTGCCAGCAAACTGAAGGAGAAGTACATCAACAGACTCCATTACCTTCATCTACAGCCTTTGTACGGTTATTAAATCATTAGCACATACTAGCAAATGAGTTTGAGTTTTTATGAAATCAATTCTTTACTGAAAAATTTTTTCAATTGAATTTTTTCAGTGCTTATGGAGCGTTAACGGTGAGGACTCTTCTCGATACAATAGAGCATTGTATGAAAGAATTTGATTTTCCAGATCCCTATCTTCAGGTAATAATTAATTATTTCCTCTTTATAGAAATATGAAAAAGAGACTCATTAGTTTTTCATATTTTCAGCAAAAGAAAAAGGAAAACGAAGAGGCTCTGACGTATTTGAAAGCCCGTCTCGACGTTCTGGATGAGTTGGAGGGCGAAGAAAAACTTAAAGCACTGATCCTAGGTGTTCTTTCTGGAAATATGTTTGACTGGGGAGCTAAAGAGGTCGCAGACCTCATGGAATCTTCCACTTTTGGCTTCGAAGATGCTCAGAATAAAATTCCGAGTACGAAAATTAACTCGTTTTCTCAAATTTAACCTGTTTTCAATCTGAAATTTGATGTGTGATGGGTAGACCTTTCACGTTTGGTCAAATATGAAATAGTAATAATGTGATGAATAATGATTTATCATGATTCTTTAGGTCGACCATGGCTCCAAGATGATTTGGACGAGTGGATCTCAAGACTGCAAGACGAACCACCCCACACTTGTGCAGCCATATTCGTGGACAACAGTGGCGTTGATATTGTTCTCGGAATTTTGCCCTTCGTTCGAGATTTATTGCAAAGAGGTACCCGAGTCATCCTCTGCGCCAACTCAATGCCTGCTCTTAATGATGTCACGTATCCAGAGTTGTTGGTGATTCTGAAGGAAGCTGGAAAGATCTGTAAGGATATCAAATATGCTTTGAAGGAGAACAGACTGATGGCCATGGAAACTGCACAAGCTGGCCCCTGTTTGGACCTCAGGTAATTATAAATACATGTTGGAACACAGAATTGTTGAGGATCCATTAATCAATACCATCAATTCCCATCATGTCGTGTCAGCCAATCAGTTTTTCTAATTATTTACTCTGCTCCAATTAGTGGATTAATCTTCTATATGCAAATATTCTTTGTATTCTTGGTTGTCGCGAAGTTATTCTAATTCATTAATTCTATCAATTCATCAATAGATTAATTAACCAACTTATTTGGTTATGCTGTTAGAGAAAAAAACATGAAATCTCAGTTTAGTTTAGTCAGTTCAGTAGTAATTTTTTGGAAAGTGACATTGAATTCGATTTAGGGGAAAAAATCATGAAAAATATAATTCCAAGAATATATGTATATTTACTCGAATTTTTTTCTTGTTTTTATTAATTTTCTTCGAATAATTCAACGGAAATTGGCACTTTTCATTCATTTTCTCATGAAATTGTGAATTTTCAATACGGAATCCCTTGAAATTTCACTGGAACTGTCATTTGATAAAAAGTTCAGTCAGAAATTTTTAGCAGTGTATCTCACATTTCTTGCATTGATAAATACGGAAAATTTAAATAATTCGCCTATCCTTTTATGCACCTGTTCCAGTCGATTGAATTTGGACCTCTGCAAAGCAATGATTAAACACAACGTGGACTTGGTAGTAATCGAGGGAATGGGTCGTACTCTTCACACAAATCTCCATGCAAAATTGAAGTGCGAGTGCTTGAAACTGGCGGTAGTAAAAAATCGTTGGCTAGCAACAAGACTAGGTGGTGATATGTACGCTGTGATATGTAAATACGAGCGGCCGTCATCAAAAACTACTCTAAGACTATCAAACGACCAAACCTGCACAGAAACCTGCAGACCTCATGAGACAACTTGATTCTAAAAAACAAAGTATCACAGCTGAGTAAAATATCAATCATGTATTGGTAAGGTCAGAACGTAATAACAGGAACTCATCTTCTTGAGTCAATTAGGACATTATCCAGAGTTATTAATTTCAGAAAACATTGGGGAGAAAATTTATCTGTCTAGTTCTTTAACTAGGGGAAAGTGGGGCACAATGAAAGAGTCGAAAAACGACTGTTTGACGCAATTCAAGCAAAACATTTTTTTTAATTAAATTTTTTTTTTATTAACTTTTGTTTATCAACTTTTTTCTTGGGTGTACTGATAAAAATTATCGAGAAGTTTTGAAGGGAGAAGATTTTGTCAATGGATTAATTGAAAAGAAAATGAAACAGCAAAATCCAAAGTCCAGAACAAGGCCGAGGGGAAGATCCAGAGAGAAAAAGAGGAAAAAGTGATGGTAAATTTCAATCGAATGAAAAAAAAAGTTTAATCGGCCTAATCTAATCGATTGAATTATAATTAATTGAATTATAAGACGAATAGAAAATTTATATTCTCATCAGTACTCCCAATAATAAAAAAAGTTAATAAACAAAAGTTGATGAAGAAAAAATTTTTTTTGCTTGAATTGTGTTGAATAGTCGTCTTTCGGCTGTTTCTGGTAGCCCCACTCTCCTCTACAATATTTTTCCTCCACATTTTCTCCCAAAATCATTTGCTCACAGGACAATTACCTAATTACAAGATACCAGAAAGAAGTAATATCTTAGTTATCACGTTTTACCATTTCAACAGAAAATTTACAATTTCATAAAACAAACTGAATTTGATTAAAAATTTTTGGGATTGCCGGTCGATTCTACAGATTCTAGACTCCACTAACGAAAGAAAGGAAGATTAAAAGTTGATGAAAAATCAATGGATAGAATGTTAATATTTTGAAAAAATATCTAAGGACATGCAGATATTCCGTGTTGCCTTAAATTGACTGGTGATCGCAAGTCTTCCCAGGTCAAAAAGACAAATAAACACCAAAGAAAACTCTGAAAAATAAGTGATACAATTCTTCACATTAATCGCGATTATCTGATAATTTCATTTTTCTCGATCAATAAACCAATCAAAAGACAGATTTAGCCAGAGACAATAATTGTTCTCAAGCTGAAGGACAATTTCCTGTGATAATAATGTTAAATGTACCTACGAATGAAATTAAATTTCAATGTAATGTTAAGACTGTTAAAGAAAACGACTTCATTCGATTCTTTTCTGATGATTTCGGTTATACTTGATGAGTTGTGCATGATTTTCCTTTGAATAAAGTTGATCCAATCATAAATTCAAGTAATTCAGTAATTTCTTGGGTTTGTGGATAGGAAAATATATCCTCAATAGTTGATGACGAAATTATTGTGAAAATTATCACACCAATAAGATGATCTGAAAATATTTTTTTTTCTCGTGGCATTTACTACAGAAACAATGAAATTTCAAAATAATTTCATATCCAAAGTTTGTTTTGACATCTCATTGTTGAAAAATCTGCGTTACCAAAAACCAATAACTTTCACGTTATTAGAACATCTGATTGTATTTCCTTCATATCCATCAATTCATGTTCTTCGATTATAGTTTCTAATTCGTCGTCTTTTGAGCTTTCAGGAATCGAGAGACGGTTGTGAATTCTTTTCATATGTTTATTGTAATTTCCTGAGTTCGTAAAGTTCTTCTTGCAATTCAAACAGGTGTAGGGCTTCTCTCCAGTGTGTTGACGTTTGTGGACCTGCAAAATATTTTGAATATTCAATGATGATGAGGATGTATATAATTAAGGGGCAGATGTAAAAATTGATGTTTACTATTAAAACAGGCAAGTATCTGAAGCTTTTTTCACAGACATCACATTTGTAGGGCGTCACTCCGGTGTGAATCCTTGTGTGAGCTGTCAAAGTGCCTTTCGTTCTGAATGATTTCAAACAAATTTCGCATTCATACGGTTTTACTGATGTATGGGAAAGGGAATGTTTATCTGTGGAATACAAAATTTGATTGAATTAATTATTATCGAATGGAACAATTGGGATCAGATTGAGAAAATTGAGGTATTTCTATAAAACCGCATTCTCGACGAAAAAATTTCTCTACTATTGTTTCTGATATATCTTCCAATATCAAAGTGAGTTATGAAGATTTTAATTATTCTCGAGAGAAATCGAATCCGTGTTTTGGAAAAATTTGTTTAAAATACTTACTGAGAAGTCTCTCTGTCCTGAAGCCTCGATCACAAATGTTACACGTGTAATTTTTCTCCTTAGAATGACTATCGAAATGGGTGATCAAAGATCCTTTAGATACAAATGACTTTCCACAGACATCACACATAAAATCTCTTTCTCCATTGTGCATTTTTTCGTGGCACTCGAGGGCTCTTTTCGTTGTAAATCTGATGGTAAAATAACATCAATACTTGAAAGTCAGAATTATTTCGTTCTATATCTTTAGGAACCTTCTTCAAAGGAAATTAATTGAATAAATTCTGAGAATAATTTCTTAAGAATAATTGGAGAGAAATAAAATTGACGGAAATAAGAACCACTACGTATTGATTATAGAAAAGTTTTCCTGAAAACAATGCAAAAATACCCTAAAACTTTCTTCAATGTATCCATTGTTTTCTCAATTTCAGAAACTTCTTTCCTCTATCAGGAAAGTCTCAAGAGACCTTTGTCTGTAGCTAATCCAATTTACTAGAGAGGACTCTCTATACTTTTCTGAGAACCTCTTCCTCGAGAAGTAGTCAGCAAGTTTATCCAGAAGTTTGACATTTCCCTGAAGTTCAAAAACTTACTGTAGCCTAGCCAAATTACTAGAGAGGAGGTCTCTACACTTTTCTGAAAACCTTTTCCTCGAAAGGTAGTCAGCAAGTTTATCCAGAAGTTTGACATTTCACTGAAGTTCAAAAACTTACCTTCTATTACAGGGTTCACAGACGAATTTTGATTTTTTCTCCATTGGCAGGTGGAGTTTAGAATGCACTCCCAGCGCATAGCTCGTTTTAAAGGAGCTTTTACATATTTCACAAGGGTATGGTCTATCATCAGTATGTACAAGCGCATGAGTATTTAGCATCGACTTTTGATTAAACGTTTTTCCACAGAGTTCACATCTGCAATGAAAAATTACAAATTCAAGTTTTACGCTGAGAGAAAAACGACAGAGCTCCGAAACAAGTCTTACTTCTGCCAAAAAAACTATTTTATCATAGTATATTGTGCCCCTAGGGAGTAAAAGTATTTTCTGACTCACATTTCCGTCCCTAGAGGCATAAAATTTATTATTTTACTATATTAGAAAAGAGGAACATTTTTGGCGCAACAATAGATTTAGTAGTTCCGAAAGAATTGTATTCTCTGTGCAAACAAAAAAGGTCATTTGTAGCACTACTTCTTGATTATTCGATACTTCTATCCGTATTTTGCTGCCGAAAAATGTTCGTTTTATGCGGAACAAGGAATAGTAGTTTTTCATTTCGGCTATTCAATAATCACAGACAAAAAATGAATTCTTAAATGAAATAATAATGTTATGATAGCAATCTTGTAACTTAGGGACAAAATATGTCTTGATAAATTTTCCTCCATATGAGTTATTTTCATCCTGGAAAGACAGTGTCTCGTGTGAATTATCCGCCTTTTGAGTCAAATCAGTAGTGAAGTGGTCAATTGGTTCAAACCGACTCAACTTCCAGTTGAGTTTTTGTTGAATAACTCGGAATTTAAGAAAGATAGCAAAATTTTTGTAAAATCTTTTTCGATAGTCTTGACTTTTCTTTATAAAAAAGATTTTTAGGAAAATTTTGCTAACTCTTTTAGAATTTGAGATATTCAGCCAGAACTGGCGCTAGAAGGGAATTGACTTGAACCGTTTGACTACTTCACTACTGAAATATTAAATAAGGTATTAAAGAGGGGAATTTATATAGCGTTCCACATCTTTGTGACGTCATAGAAAATGAGTGGATGGGATTCGAATGAGGTAGGAGGGGAACCGGGGTTATTCTCAATATAAATAACCAGAGAATTTTTACTGAGAAAAATGGACAGTTAGTTTCGTTGTTGTCGAAAGCCGAGCAATTATTCATATCTGAAATTATCAAATTCGAATCAAACAATTCTATAGCGAAGTGGTAAACTAAGATAAGTGTAAAACTGAAACTTTTTCAGGTGAGTTGATAAATTTCCCCACCTTTGAGAGAACTTTCGATTCAAGCAATAAAAAATTTTTCAAAAAAATTGAACTTATCCTAGTTTCCCATTTGACTATAAAATTTCTATTTGGCAGTTTTCAACTAGCGATTTTGTTGGCGCAAACGAGACTTGTTCGTTTTTTCTCAGTGTAAAATTTAAAAAAATCAGTCAACAGGTTTGACTCCTTACTGAAATTTTTTAGTACTCTGGTGCAGCATACAATGTTTCGTAAAGCTTCTATATCTATCGTACTGTCTTCCACAGTGGATACATTTGAAAATCGGCAAGTGATTGTGTGAATTTGTGTAGTGCTGACACAAATCCTGAAGTGAGTCAAGGACTCCGGAGCTGCAGAGAACACAAGTCCAGGGGTAGCCTTGAAAAGCTTCTGAGATTCTGGGCTTGGACGGTACATCCTTTTTCCTCTTTCCATCTTTTTTCGATAATTTTGTCCGTGACAGTTCCTCCAATTTCTCTGGGTTCGGCGAGTCTGGATCTTCTTTTATCTGCAGCTCACTTATGGGGTGATAAATGCTCTCCAAGAATACTTGGACCTTCGATGCTCTCTCGAACAAGTCATAGGAGTCGTCTAATCTGGCGCAGCAGCGGTGGCAGATTATTGTTGGTAAAACATCACAAACCGACACCTGAAATTGAATTGGGAAAAAGATTTTGCAACAAATGGCCGCACATTTCAGGCGTGTATTATTTCCTATGGATGCCAGATAATACAAAAAATATTTCAGTAGCAAAGTGGTAAAACGGTTTAAGTCGACTTATCTGCCAGTTGAGTTTTTGAGAAATATTTCCGAATCTAGGGGAGATAGCGAAATTTTTGTAATTACATTTGTTGCAGCTCTCAATCGGCTCTACAAAAAAGGTTGTAACAAAAATTTTGCTTTTCATTCCGAGCTTTTCACTCCTTTAGATTCCGAGATATTCATTGAAAACTGGTCAATAGTCAAAATTGACTTGTACCGTTTTACCACTTCGCTACTGATTTTGTAACTGAAAGACCCTGGTAATGCTCCATGGCAAACTTGACAACGTCGTGGCAATTTTAGGGCGTTACGTCTGGACATCCCATTGCATTTACCATGAGAAAATTAGTAGGGAAGCGGTGAAACAGTTTTAATCGATTGTTTTTCGAAAATAATATTCTCATTTGAATTCCCCTAAAAACGAGCAGGTGACAGCGAAGATATGACAGCGTGCTATATGACAGTGAGCATGTCACTGAATGATGTCTTATTTTTTTTCGCCATCAGTACGTTGATGGCGGGCTTCCGAATGGTCTAAATATTACAAAAGGTCATAGCTTTACAGCACTAATTAGCAGCAATAATTTCAGATGTTTACTGCCACCTCCAGAGGTGGTATAAAAGTTCGAATGTTTCGAATACTTCGTATGAACGGGTGCACATATTTTTGTCCAAATTTCAAGTTCATATCTCGATTTTTACACAAGCTAGAGTGATTACAAAGTTTTTTTTTTATGAATAAACGGAACTACGGGAATATCTCGACAACTTTGTCTAAACGGGTATATATGTTTTAATTGATTTAGATAGAAGGCATCGAAACGAATATTTTGAAAACGAAAAAATTTAAATCGGTCCACTAGTTTTGAAGATATTCGCGGAAAACTATTTGAAAACGAATCGCTTTTTCTCAAAAACTATTGGATCGATCGAGCTGAAATTTTGCACAGAGTTAGTCCTCATTAAGACCTATAATTTGATAAAATTGCAGATTTTTTGAAATTACTTTAACCACTTAATTACTCCATTTTCTAAAAATTGACCGCATTCTACATCATTCCCAATCAAAATTTGAGAATGTGAAAACAGAACGATTACAATGTTTCCATTCGGAAGCAAAAATTGCAAATTTCGGCATAAATCGTTTTACCACTGCATTAATGGAATGCGTAGAAATAAAGTGAAAGTGAGCATAAAAAGACTCTGCTCTATGTATTGAACTCTCGATTGAACTGAAAATGATTTCACTTACTTTTTTGAAAGGGGAACTGCATGACTTTCTTAAACTTTTGTTAAAATAATAGAGAATCACTGTACAAAAGGATAACATATCGGGCTTCGAAAAACGTTAAATTTTTTTAACGTGGATATTATTTAATTGAGTGGAAAGTGAGGTAGATTGGAACGTTTGTGATCAATTTTGATTTTTGACATTTTTGTTTATCATCAGAAACATTAGGATTAAAAAAAAAGGATTTGAAAAATTCCCTCCCACAAAGTTCTTATTATTTTTGGCTGAATTCACTCGCTCCTGAGATAATTGTATAATAATGACACTTCAGAATTTTTTAAAATTATTCATAACTCACAAACAAATTGATCAATTGAGCTCAATTTAGGCTCATCACAAAGGGAAAGAATTGTTCTTTGCATTGAGAAGAAAATTATTAAATTTTATCAACATTTCAACTCCTCATTAACTTTTAAAAAAAGTCAAAAGTGTCCGTTTTACCCAAAACCTCCCCTACTGATATCATTTTGAATGTTTGAACTTACAGGAATCTGTAAACAAGTGGCAGTTTTAATCCCCAATTTTCGTTTTAATCCTTCATCACTGAACATGTTGACATACTCTTTGGCGTTTCTCCCACATAGACGACAGAGTGTTTTCCCTGACATTGTTGTGGAGGTTACATTAAAACCACCGACAATACTTGATCTCAATTGGAGTCTCCAAACCCAAAATTATATAGTTCAATATCAAGGAAATTAGTTATTTTGATTCATTTCACTCTGAAGTGACGAATAATCGAAAGGGTTTCGTATTTTAAAAATCACAACAAATGCACAGATGACAGATCAAAACATTGATGCGACCATGAGATGCGACCAGATAGATACAATCGAAAATATTGTTCGATTCGACTAATCGAACCCCTTTTGAAAAATTGAAATAAAAATATTGCGGAAAGAAAAATCACTGAATTGACTCTCAGTTAATAGACCTGTAATCCTCCAACAAATTTCAATTCTTGAATCGAAAACATTCGAAAACAGATTGCCAGGTTGAGTGGGTGAATCGGGATGCGGGAGGGAGTCGTTTGCACAATGTCACACGCACGAAAAAATTTAATAAAAAAACCTATTGAATTCGTTAGAAAATTCAATTGAATTTCTATTAAACTTTCTATTAGTTTTTGGCTGATTCTATTGACACGTTTAATAGAAAAAATTGAATAGAAAAAGTTAACAGAATTCGATTTTTCTATATAACTTATTCTTTTCATATATTTTCTAGAATTTGCCCGATTCAAATTTTCCAAGTTTTTTTCATTCTATTTTTCTTTTCTTCTCATCAAGAAAATCAAACGAAAAAACTTAGAAAATTTGAGCCGAGGAAATTCTATAGAAAATACCTCAATAGAATAAGTCATATAGAAAAATTGAATTCGATTGACTTTTTCTACTGAATATTTTCTATTGAACATTTCAATAGAATCGGCCAAAAACTAATAGAACAGTTCAATAGAAATTCAATAGAATTTTCTAACGAATTCGATAGGTTTTTCCTATCGTAAAAAATAGAAAGGAAATCGATCTCGATATATCTCGAAAATCTCGTTTCACTGTTACCGTAGGACAGAAACCGAAGCGCCACTGTGTGAGGAGATGAGAAGGCGCGTGCGTAGCAGGCGCAACCGAATCTCTGGTATAAATATAATGAATATTTTCGGTAAAATGACGTTTATCATGAGGATTTTGACATAACGTATCCTCAATATCAACTATAAACTAAAAAAAGTGATAAATGGACATACCAAACCCGAGAGGTAGTTTCCAGTGACCAATGGTAGAGAGTAATCTTATAATGAGTATTTTGAGGTTAAAAATGGGTGTTTACACCGGCTAACGGACTGTGACACCTCTTGTGTGTAAACAAAACTATCTTTACTCAACTACCAAAAGTGGAAGTTCATTCATAAATAAATATAGATATGGCATTCGTATTAGATAATGGCGGGTATACCGCCAAAGCTGGCTTCTCTAATACTTCTCCCATGTAAGTATCACCTTCACTCCACAATAGATCTGTTAATATAATAAGGATGCCCATTCGGAGCACGTCTAAAAAAACTTCGTCAAAAAATTTCGTTAAAAAACCTGGTTCAATTCAACTTGGGAAAGTAAACATTTGTCAAATTGAACTTTCGTCAATAAAACCTTTCGGTTATCTTGTCTTTTGTAAGAATACAGATAAAATCTTTGTTTGTGTTTGGAATTTGCAAGTGTTGTTATCCGTTTTGTTTTTGGTTTCTTGGGAAAGGAACGGGTTGAGGTCACGACGCCCAAATGCGGAATATCGAGTGCACCAACTACTGAAACTCAATTCTCTAGAATACAGTAGTCGCTTGATTCGAGTGGTTGAGCGGACAATCCCCTGGAGAAATAGAATGGGGATTGAGGAGTGATCCAATCGTTAAATTGATCATATAATAAAAATTTTTAATATAGAGTAAAATTCTCGCATACATAGAATTATACTGTTTTCATTCTATTGCAGAAAATGTTATACTCATAAGTTCAATGTTTTTACTCATTTACTATACTGAAAAATTCTTGAATCAAGTACTATTTCTAACGTAATTTGATTATTCATTCGGCGTCCATATGAAATCTCATCATGACTAATATAATTGGTGTAGCTATTTCGAAAATACCTCGATCATTTCGGTCATTCGTGGCTTGAATATGCAATTCAGAATTAGTGATGCGAAGGAAACAATGCACCTAATACTATTTCATACCTCACTTACGCTCTCTTTAAAAGGTGGACAAGTATATTTTACGTGAGAAATTCACAACCCTGAAAATACGATATTAACGGGAAGCAGTAAATTGAATAGTCATATATCTGCCATAGCAAAATGGGTAAATTCAGATGGATCCAAATATGTCGTGGTTAATTTAGATCAGATATCAATATTAAATCCCTGGAATTGAGATTTTCATAGATCACCGTCAATACTGATATCTTTTTTATTGTTTGAAAGAATGCGTCATTCATACATGACGATGGGTTCTCCATTAGCGAATTTCCATTTCAAATCTATGTAGATTTCTTTACCCATGATTCATCAATATTAGTTATCTGTGAATATACTTGATACTATCAAGTTACTTCTGTGGATATGAAAAAAATTGGAATCCATAATAGATTGGACTGGAATAACTGTGGATGAATTTCAATTGAAGGCCCGAGTTGAAGACCCGAGTTTGTAGCAGAGATGTCAGACAAGATATGAATGATTTTTTGAGCTCAAATGAAAGAGCGGGTCGAGAAATGGCGTGCTGAAGCCTCTAAAGATGGGTTTGAACCTGGGGAGACTCCTAGACCCCAATGTTCTATACATACGCCTAGACCCCATTGTCCTCCTAGACAATGTTGTCACAACTCTGCTTTTCAATTGAAAACAGACATCTTTAGAGACATTTGTCATGTTTAGAGGTCCTAGCACGCCATTTCTCGACTCGCTCTTTCATTTGGGCCCAAAAAAACATTCATATCTTGTCTGACAACGCTGTACAAACTCGGGTCTACAACTCGGGCTTTCAATTGAAGGCCCGAGTTGAAGACCCGAGTACGGAGAGAAATCTCAGTACGGAGAGAAATATTCACTTGTAATACCACAAGAGCTTTAAAATTATCGGGTATTTTCCGATAGGCTCGTTGCAAGCAACCGAAGGAGTCAAGTTTTTCAGGTAAAAAAATCACGAGTGCGAAGCACGACTTACCAACTTGTTTTGATCAAGGTTCACTGACCAATTTTTTTTAACGGAAGTTTTTTAGACACGAGCCCCTCCCACTGCGCTTGACGTACGAAAATACTCAATAGAAAACCCGCCGTATATGCTAGAAACTAAATAAAAATTTCCAAGAAGTCTACCATAAATTCCCCAATGCAGGATCATTCCCAATTGCATAATGAAAGCGAAGAGCGAGCGTCGTCGGCCGTTCATCGGTAACCAAATAGAGGACTGTCGGGATGCCTCAGGCCTATTCTACATGCTGCCCTACCACAAAGGTTACCTCGTTAACTGGGACATCCAGAAGACAGTCTGGGACCACATATTCTCCAAAGACTGTCTCTCAGCTTCCCTGAACCACTGTCCAACGATTATAACGGAACCTCTCTTCAACTTCGCCCCGATCCAAGAGGCAATGGTCGAGATATTCTTCGAGGAGTACGAGTGTCCGAGTATCCTGCTGGTTAATGGAACAAGTCTGTCCTATCATCACTACAAGACCCTGCACCCCGAGAGCAAAGCCTGCCTAGTCGTCGACTCTGGCTACAGCTTCACACACATCGTTCCTTACATTAATGGCGTCAAAGTGAAGGAGGGCATAAGGAGGATTGACGTTGGGGGTAAACTGCTCACTAATCATCTCAAAGAAATTATTTCCTATCGTCAGTTGCACGTCATGGACGAGACCTACGTCATCAATCAGGTGAAGGAGGACTCGTGCTTCGTCTCTCAGGATTTCTTCAAGGACATGGAGAGAGCGAAGAACAAATTGGAGAATAATCCGATTGTTAAGGACTACGTTCTCCCGGATTACACATCGTTGAGAAGGGGATTCCTGAAGGATCCAGAGCCACAGAGTGAACATCAGACCCTGAGACTCAATAACGAACGTTTCGCTATTCCTGAGATTCTATTCAATCCGTCCGATGTTGGGATTAGGCAGATGGGAATCCCCGAGGCTATTGTGGACTCTGTCAAGGCCTGCGAGGAGGAGACCTGGCCTCATCTACTAGCTAATATCATTCTCAATGGGGGTAATTGCAAATTCAAGGGCTTTCAGGAGAGGGTTTACAAGGAATTGAGGAGCTTGTCACCTGATGAGTTCAAGATTAACGTCCACTTGGCTGATAATCCTGAGACCTATGTGTGGGAGGGAGGGAAATTGTTCGCGAGTGATCCCTCCTTGAAATCGTTCTTGGCGACGAGGGAGGAGTATGAGGAGGAAGGACCTGCTTTGTGCTGCGAGAAGTTCAGTGGGTGTATTTGAGGTTTGGAGTTTTTTTAAGTCTGTGGTTAACATTTTGAGATACTTGAGTTAGTTTGGAAATTGTGGAAATTTTTTTTATTAAAAAAACTATCAAAATACCATTGCTTTATTAGAAACTGCCTATTTCTTTGGCGTTTAATGCAATTTTTCAACTTCTCGTTAATTGTCTAGTTTTCGAATACTTCCTTCAACCCCTTTTTCAATAAAAAAAAAGCAGGGGTCGAGCCTTTCTGCCAGAAAGCAGGTGACCGCTACTTGATACGTTATTTGTCTTTTTAATTTTTTATTTCTACCAATTCCATTGGTAGGAAGCTTCCGAATGGATCCGTAAAATTTTTATTTTTTAATTGAAAAGAAAGTTTTTTTTCTTGAAAAAATCTGTTCCTCGTTTGATTTTCTCAAACTGAGAATTAAATTTCGGTTTTATCCAGCGGGATAGGCATATATAGATAGAATAACGATATGTCATTTTATGCGGAAAACTTTTCTTACATCAACTGCTCGATTTCAAAAGTATTGAATCGATCAATCTGAAATTTTACACAGGAGTGCAAGTCGATGATACTAACTAGCCCTCAACATTTTAGAACTTTACCACATCCTTCAGTCATGTAATGCAACATCACAGCAATTTTCAGACAAAAAAAATAGAAAAACGACAATATCTCGGAAACTTTATAGGAACGGGTATATATATTTTAGAATTACCAATATCAATTTAAACTTCCTATCTCAATTTTTTCAAACGTTATCGTGTTCACTTTAGTTTTATCAGAACAATGAAAAAGGTAAATTACTGGGCGACTCGAAATAGTTAGCTAGACATGTTATGGTTCGATTCGATAGATATTATCATAAGGAATATTTTAACGCAAAAAAAAAGTTCATTTGATGCAGTAGTTTTCGAGATATTGACGAATCAATACTGGACTTATTGCTCTGAAATTTCGTCGAAATGTGCTTCCAAGCAATACCAATTATGAACCAAAATTTCAGGTTTTTATCTATTACTTTAGTCTTTTGTGTGAAAATTTATTTAAAAATTCCCTGAACGTACACAGACATTCTCGAAAAACATCATAGGGTAAACTGCCCAGTAGATGGACGCCTAAGAAAACAGCCCAGTAGATGGACGTTTGTTTTTTAGCAATTGAAAAAAAAATTGATCGAAAAAAAATCGTCACTTAGGGGTTAAGAATCACAACAGTTAGTGAAAATTCAAAGCAACAATTCACATTTCAGTATTTTTTTTTAGTAATTTCCTATCCAAAAGTAGCTCGTCCATCTATAGGGCAGTGTCCATCTACTGGGTAGCTTACCCTATCTCGACGTTTTATGACATTCTAAGTCATTTCCAAGCAAAATTAGAGAACGTTCCTCAAATAGTTGAAAGATAGTTGAAATATAATATGCACTTGCTTATTTCTGTTTAATGCGATCCAAAAGTATTGGAAAACCTGCCATGTCCACATGTGTGATAAATAATTAATAGTCCAGTTCATCAGTTAATTTTCGAATATCTTAACCATTTTGTAAAGCAAGAATTAGTGCCTTGGGATCCTCATCCTGGATAGCTGTTCTGCATCGTGCTACTGCATTCGTTGATGCTCTACCAACTGACAACAGAGAGTTATAGTTAGCAAAATTTTAAACGTAATTTCACAGAAATAATTTACCTCGTAATCTCGCAGCATAACGAACGCCGACATTGAGCTCTTTTAGAGTCGCTGACAGTTCTCTACTGCTGTTCATTCGAATCTCGTGTTCCCTCATCAAGTCCCCGTTGATTGTCTTCAGCTGATGGAGTCGTTTTCTCATTCCCTCCACGTCCTCCAGGATTCTAGCGTCTTCTAGTCTTATCACGAGGGTCTTCAGGAGGGTAGAACCCCCAGCGGCATCAGCTTGAAGTCGTGCCTCCACTTCTCTCAAGCCTGGATGTACGAAAAAATTGTATGGAAGAACCTGATGGATTTGTTCTATGGAACTATATATAAATTTTCAGTCGAAATGTTCAATGGAAAGTATTTCATAGAATAAATTGACAGAATTCATTTTTTCTGTTCAACTTATTCTATTGAGATTTTTCTATAGAAATTCCTCGGCTCAAACTTTTTTGTTTGATTTTTCTAGTGAAAAGAAATCAAAAGGAAAGTGGAAAAAAAAGAAAAAGTCGTATAAAAAAATGAAATTTTGCTCATTTTTTCAATTTGAAAAAGTGTGCAGTAAAGCTGCGGAATTATTCAGTAGAATTGGCGAATAACAAATAGAATCTTCAACAAAAGTTAAGGCCCGGGTAGATTTTCTTTCGAACGTTATCTCGATTATTTTTTCATCTTCATAGTGTAAAATATATCACAATTACTATTGGATTTTACAATACGCAGAAGTCCTTAAAAATTATTATTGTACAATAAAAAAAAGTAGAAAAAACTGAACATTTTCAAAGAGCATTTTTTACTAAAGATTAAGAAATAAGTCTGATAGAGGGAAAATAATGAATAAATAATTTATCATGGTAACTAACGAGCTACTGTAAGAAATGATAATCTAACAGCCATTAGATACATCCAATTATTAATTTGCAATGTCCTTCCTATTGGGTTTATTTCCCAATATTATTCAAAAACGCTCTTTGACAATGTTCGGCTTTTTTTCAATGTTTTTTTGATTGTACAATCATAATTTTTGGAGACTCCAGGGCTATGTAAAACTAAATAGCCATTGAAAATCATTTCAGATTATCAAAAAAAAAAAAAAAAAACAAACAAGATCACGTTCGAAAGATAATCCACTCGGGCCTTAAATCGAAATTCAATACAATTTTCTATCGACTTCGCTACATTGTTCTATGAATTGTCTGCGCGAATAACGAAATGCGGAGAAATTCAGGGAAAACTGAAGAATCTTTTTTTATTTATCGATTTTACCCTTAACTCGTTCCAAAGCTGCACTCAACTTTCGTTCCTCAGCTGGGAATCTGGCTTCTGAAGTCAGTTCTTGAATCCCAAGGTACGTAGCTAGTGATTGAATGATATCACCAGCGAAGCTCGGGTCCTCGGTTTGAATGCTAGCTCTACCATCTGCGCTTGCACGTAGACAGTGAATCTTATTGTCCCTCATCCCCCGCAGCCAGACCTCGATGAATCTAGCCCCAGGGCCATCTTCGTCGACTTCTAATTCGTTTGAGAGCAGGAGACTCTGATTCAACCACAGGGCGACTCGTTGAGGCCTCTCCACAATCTTCGAGGAATCGTTAATGAGTTTTTTTCAATAATTTCATGGGCGTTTTACTATTTTTCTGGTTTGACGGAATTGCTTACTTCGAAGAGGACTCCACAGCTTCTCAATTCCTCCGATACATTCCCTGGTTTTGGAATTATTTCGTACATACAGAATCTCGGAAGTTGTTGCATCACTTCGATTACCTGAAAATTACAAATATCGAAATTAAGTTATTACGATTTGCCATTTCACTATCGACTTGGAGTTTTGCATTTTATTTTTCCCATCCGAAAAATGAAATTAAGATATGAATACAAATTACTGCAGATTCTCAATAGTTGACTGCAGCTTTAAGTTCGCGTGATTAGGGAGAGTACACGCACGAAAAAATTTAATAGAAAAACCTATCGAATTCGTTGGAAAATTCTATTGAATTTCTATTAAACTTTCTATTAGTTTTTGGCTAATTCTATTGACACGTTCAATAGAAAACATTCAATATAAAAAGTCAACAGAATTCGATTTTTCTATATAACTTATTCTTTTCATATATTTTTTATAGAATTTGCTCGACTCAAATTTTCTAAGTTTTTTTCATTCTATTTTTCTTTTCTTCTCATCAAGAAAATCAAACGAAAAAACTTAGAAAATTTGAGCCGAGGAAATTCTATAGAAAATATCTCAATAGAATAAATTATATAGAAAAATTGAATTCTGTTGACTTTTTCTACTGAATATTTTCTAGTGAACATTTCAATAGAATCGGCCAAAAACTAATAGAACAGTTCAATAGAAATTCAATAGAATTTTCTAACGAATTCGATAGGTTTTTCTATTAAATTTTTTCGTCCGTGTGGGGCAGAATGAAACATGGGGCAAAATGAAACAGCCGAAAGACGACTATTTGTGTTTATTAACTTCTTTTATTATTGACAGTACTGATGAGAATAATAATTTTCCATTTGGTAGAAAAAAATATGCACAACTCAGACCTCGAGATCGGTGAGTCGATAATCGAGACGATAATATTAATAATTTTCACTAATTTTATCCACAGTTCTCTTTTCAAGTAATATGTAAAATTTAATCTATAATTCAATTGATTAGATTAGGGCGATTAAGGATGTTTATCCAAAATCGCAAGTATTCAAGAAAAAATTGATTTTTCTTTCAATTGAGAGATGAAGTTATTCCCTTTATCTTGATAAAAATTTCAATCCACCAGCCCACGTTCATTATTTAGAAATGGAGTGGACAAAATGCACCAAACGCATGAGCTAACATGCGCTTGAATGGAATAGAATCTAAATATTTTCTCCTTCTGCGCGGGTACCCCAAATTTTTTTCTGGCCATTCGATTCAGTATAGTTTAGCACATTACCTTTTATTTTGATTTCTATTTTTAGAGTCTTATAGTAGACGAATTAAAAATTTCAACCTAAATCCCATAAGAGCCCGTGTAAAAGGAAAAATTTGTCTATTTATTTCTGGCGAGACTATTGCGATTAATTTTTTTTAACATCAAATAAGTCAGTTTCTTACGTTCTGCTATCAGCCAGAAAAATTATAGAATTTTCCTTGAACATGAAAAAATAAGATTTGCTGAAAATGGCTAAACATCCTTAAATTGTCGAAATGCACCGTTTCGCTAAGACATTATCTCACGCTCTGGATAGCTAATACCTCGAACAAAAACTACGAATGAATATCGCGATCAAGAAGCAAATTACCCCATACTAATGATAATTATCGAGAAATGGATTCACCTGGAATAGATCAGTGTTATCAGTCCCCAAGCAAACTTTAACATGCAGATCCACAACAGAATTCTTCGCTGGTTTGAGTTCGATCTCCAACTCCCCAACCGGTCTCCTGGGGTGGGCCACAAGTGTTTCGCCCTCGAAAACTCCCTCGGCAAAGACAATTGCACAGTGAATGAGTAAGCCCGGACCAGAAGCGAGAGCGAGCCGTGCAGCTCCACGTCCAGCGAACAGACTCGTCAATAATTTTGTCGTTAAATGACTCTGGAATGGAGCTCCTCGATGCCGCAGCTCCGTCAAGAGAGTTTGCTTTCTCGCCAGGAGTTTTCTCATCAGTTCACCTGGTTCTGGAGTCTCCATTATCGAGCCCGATGCATATCCTCGCACTGGATATTTGAGAATATCAGATTATCATGCTATTATTATCATGATATTGTGCAATAGATGCATTTAGATTTTCATGATTGCGTCCGAATGGAAGCATTGTAATCGTTCAAATTTAAGTTTTGGATTTTTCCTGTTATATCGACCCATTATGATCCAAAAACTCCGTATGTAAACAAATTTTTCTTTGATTGTCCGCTAGTGAATCCATGGAATTGAGTCGTTTTTTCCCTTAAATGTAGATGTTAAGCCCTATCAATTGCCATTAATTAAAATTTATTCACTTATTTATCAAAAAAATAAAATGATTAATTAATTGATTAATAATTTATTTATGTTATTTTATTTTATTTTTATTCATTTATTAAATTTTAAAATCTTTAAAAATTTTCAAAAATTGTTTTTTTACGATAACTAAAAAAAAGTTCTGAATTGATTGAATGATGGCTTAAAAAAATTGTTTGGATGTCCTTTTGTCTGAGTTTGGAGATGAAAGCGATAGCAACAATCGTTATTTTCATTTATTTTAAAATTTGGAAAAATTATGCATTTTTTGAAAATTAGAATTCCCGGGATATCTTTGAATATCATGTTTCAAATGAATTCAGGCATAGCTTAAAATGTTTATTTTAATGCCATTAAGTCGAAGTTAAAAGGCGATTACGATAGCTATATTGGTTGATTTAATTTTTATGATTGTTGAAAATTTCAAATTTTTCATGAATTTTCCTGAAAGTGAGCTTTCTGATGGTTTCTTCAAATGTGATGTTTCAAATTCATTCAATTATGTGTAAATAACATTTTTTGATTAACATTTTATCTAAGGGCTGAGGGGAGGGATAGAACTGTAAAAAAGACAAGAGGGTGTATTGAAGAAAGAGATAATAAGAATAATGATGATGATAACATTCAACTAAGTAGAAAATCTGACGAAATTAGTTGAAAAGTAACCTTAGTCAATTTAATAAAATGAAATAAACAATAAATTATACACGATAGAAGGAAATGATGGGCAAAATAACTATTCAGAAGCATATTGCTAATTTATCAGCGCAAATAACTATACGATTCAATACAAGAGCAATTTCCCGCTTGTTTAATTTCTTTCAAGAGGAGACCGTTGAATTTCGAACGTCACGGTTTATCGAAGTGAGGAATCTCCAATTATTACAGGAAAATTCATAGAAATCGGAAAAAGACAAATAAATATATTGTTAAATTTTCAATTAGTACTAAAAAACTCCAGAAGAGGATCGAAATGTCGGGCTTTTCTCAAGTGAACTTTTGAAATTCATAGAAATTGGAAAAGACATAAATATATTGTTAAATTTTCAATTAGTACTAAAGAAACTCCGGAAGAGGATCGAAATATCGGGCTTTTCTCAAGTGAACTTCAGTGTTTTTCTTTGAACAATTCTCCCTTTTCAAAAGATTAATATCTCATTAGTTCAGCAGCCAAAAACGACTACTAAGATTCCTGAATATCAGAAGGAAACGGAATCAATTCCCATCACAATTGTCCTTCATCATGGAAATGGCTTGTGACTTTATTACCTTCCCCAGCCATTGAAACAATCACCAAATCCGGTCGTCCAGTCCTCCTGTAGTCAGCCTCGACTAGCCCAGCAATGCCAGCAGTCATTTGAATTTTGAAAAGGACATCTCCATTGATACAGGACCTGGCATCGACTTTCCCACTGCTCCATCCAGTCACCAGTTCATTGGTTCCATCACCATTAACGTCGTAGCTTCGTACAGAAACGACTCTGTGTTTCGACTGAAACGAAAATCAATCATCCTATTCAATTGTAGGCCATGATGATTCCCAGTGAAGAATGTAGAAAGAGGTGGAATACTTTGATTCTCCACAGCCGCTGACCACCCTCGTAAATCCCAACGATGCCATTCTCAACGACATATGCAAATTGTCTGCCGGGGAGGGGCACGAGGGATGTTACAGGTCCAGTCTCTTTGGTCTCCCAGAGGACAGACTCCTCTTTCAATGCTCGAATCTCACAGTCTTCGGTACCAGCCAACAACTGGTGATGAAATAATCATCAAAATTAACCCTAGTCTGGGGAGCGATTTTGCTCGTTTTATGTCGACATAAAATCATAAATTTCAACCAATTCTAATTGAGTATTCCGAATCCAGGACTGTCATTGGTTGAAATTTACGATTTTATTTCGACATAAAACGAGCAAAATCGCTCCCCTGGTCACCAAACGCGACCCTGCGATTGGTCACCTCCGCGGGGATTCCCCGCCGTGTTTTTAAGCTTTAGCGTTGCCAAATTCACTTTACACTGCCCGGGCGCGTTTAGCGAGTTTCCGGCAACGTCGCGTCATGGGCAATTTCATTTAACATCACGTACCAAAAAATGCTATAGGATTTCCTATAGGAAATCCTATGGAGAATTCGAACATTTCCTTTAGGATTTTTCTGATAGGATTTCCTATCGGAATTCCTACAGGATTTCCTATAGGATTTCTTATAGAGTTTCCTATCAGATTTATGACCCTAATCCTGACCCTTGTGACCGATTGGTTTCGAGTCTCAATTTTGTGTGTTACTTTCTATAGAAAACCCTATAGTGAACTTTACAGGAAATCCTATAGGAAATCCCACCAGAAAAATCCTATAGGAAATGTTCGAATTCTCCATAGGATTTTTTCATATTTGATGGGGAAAAAATAATTCATCTGAAATTATTTGTTTTCTCTAGGAATTTTGGGAAATATGGTGTTTTAAAAACTACTATAATTTTTTAGACACTTCAGTTCACAAAGTCAAATTTTCTTGAATTTTTCCAGTTAATTAATCAACTGTAATTAAATAAATACGACGCGCGACGGGGTTTCCCTCATAGGGTGACCAATCTAGGGTTCAGGGGATACGTCGCTGAAATTCAAAAGTTTTCACAGGACCTTGGGACCCATTGAAGAGTTTGTGATATATGACGGAATATGGGAATAACTAGGGAAAATCACTGACCCGATCGATTTTACCCCGTATAACCATGAAAAACTTCATTTTTTGATGTTTTTACCTTCAAAATGCCCCTTGCGCTGCAGTTTTCATACGATTTTAGCGTTTTTTTTAAATGTTCGTTACACTCCAAATAATAAAGTTAAGCGCATCCGTTTTACTTTATTCTTAACAGATCATGAATAAATGAATTTCGAATTTTATCAATTTTTCGCGTCTTTAGAGTAGAACTAAAAATTCAATGCATTTAGTAATTGAACATTGTAATTATACGTAATCTAATTTTTATGAACAAAAAAAATGGCAAGTTGAAGCGAAAAGGTGGGCTCAAAAGAAAATTTATGAACAAATTCATAAAATGAAATAAATTCATAATTAAAAAAAAATATTCCCAATTTATTCATAAATTTTTCGCGTCTCTCGAGTAGGACTAAAAATTCGTGGTTTTTAGTAATTGAACATTGTAATCATGCGTAATCTAATTTTTATGAACAAAAAGGCGGTTTTAAAATAAAATTTATGAAATTCAAAATTCATTTATTCATGATCTATTGCGAGTAAAGTAAAACGGATGGTGAACTTTACTGTTTGGAGTGTAACGAACTTTAAAAAAAAAGCTAAAATCGTATGAAAACTACGCCGCAAGGAGCATTTTGAAGGTAAAAGCAGGAAAAAATGAAGTTTTTCGTGATTTTACGGGGCAAAATCAATCGGGTGCTCGATTTTCCCTAGTTATTCCCATATTCTGTCTATATTATAAACTGTTCAATGGGTCCCAAGGCCCAGTGCAGACTTTTAAATTTCACCGACGTATCGGACTAGGGGTGGAGGGTATGAGGGATTATGAATACCTCGTTTTCTCCATCTCCATCGAAATCGAGGACCGCAATCGATCGAACAATGTCACCCATGACTGTCCAGTATACTTCATTACCTTCGCAATCTAATACAGTTATCGAACAGTTACCTCCGATGATTGCTACTTGATTTGGAAGCCAACTCAGCTTGCCAATGGCTATTGAAAACGCCCCATCAGACACCTTTTCCATGAAGCAAAAATTATGTTAGCGAATTGCGTTTTATTTAATTTTCCTCTTAATTAAAACCAAATGACATTCGTTGTGAGAAGTTTATCAATTCGCTCTTTTGGGTATTCGTTTCAGTTCTGAAGTCATGATCAATTAATTTCAAGCTCATTCGGTTTAATCCCCCAAGGCCCAAGTAAAATAAAAAATGTTCGTCACCTCTTTGTAAAATAAATCCGCATTATCTTCGACTTGATACGCCAGCACGTGTGTCACAGTCCCAATTAAAAGAACATCCCTCTCATCCTCGGTCAGACGACCTGTGCACAGGGACGTCACCTAGAACCGAAATTAAAATCTGAATAAAGTGAACCGTCCAGTGTTCGAAAGAATAAGGATGTTTTCGCCAATTATTGGTATGGTTTTGTATCTGGAAAGATTAATTTTGTGGAGGCATTTTATATGGCTTTCTTATCATTCAAAAGGCTTAAAAAAATGTTTTTCAATTTGTTAAAAATTTCATTAGGACCGCAAAGTTCATTTTTGATTTTTGTGAGCTTCTGATAAAATTTTGCGTTTCCATACAGGTCAATTTCTTTTTCGGGTTTTCAATAGGTATTTCCGACAAAAATTTTCCGTTCTTTCGATTGAGCATGGTGCCGATTACCTCACATCATCGGTAATGCTTCATCCTATATCACAAATCGGAAATGCCCTCGTCCATCTCGTCGATTGGATATTTTTTTATTTCTTTACCCAAAGTGACTATTTTTACGAAACATGTTAGAAAATTAGACTGGAACTCAGATTCGTTCTATCCAGAAATTTTTTTGTTCAAATTTTTTTTTTAATTTTTCCTAATTTGTCATTTTTTTAGTTTTTCATTTCAAAATTCATTATTTATTAACTATTTAGGACCATAAATAATTATTTTCGGAATGCAAAAAATAAAAAATGACAAATGGGGGGAAATTTTTTAAGACAAAATTTCAAGAAAATTATTTTTGGATAGAACGACGTCCAATCCTAGTCTAATTTTTTATATGTTCCGTAAAAATAGTCACTTTGGATAAGGAGAGAAAAAAATCTTCAATCGCGGGGGGGGGAAGCATGTACCACACACAACTTTCTAGTTTTTTGGCGATTTTAAAGCATTTTCGATTATGTGAGCTAATTGGCACCACGCTCAATCGAAAGAACGGGAAATTTCCATCGGAAATGCATATTGAAAATCCGAAAATATTAACCTTTGCTGAAATGCAAAATTTTGTCAAAAACTCACAAAATTCAAAAATTAACTTTGTGGGGGTAATAAAATTTGAAAAAAATGGGAAACGATTTTTTGACGCCTTTTGAATGATAAGAAAGCCATATAAGAATAATTGGCGAAAACACCCAAAAATTCAAAATATAAAACAAAATTACCTGTCGTCCGATCTGCAGTTCAGCAATTTCCCCATTCCACTCGAGTCTCTTCTCCAGATTCTCATGATGGTTTTCATTAATATTCGTTGGTGGCTGCCTATGCGGACTGTGAACCACAATATTCCCCGCTGAGGTTGCGAAAACGAGACAAGCATGAGACCCATCAAACTTGCCACAAGTAACAAGCCCCGGCTCGAATCTCCTCTGTAAATTCAACGAAAACGCTGCCATTTTCTCGAGACATGAGCGACAACTGTTACCCGAACGACCTAAAATCACCTGTTCCACCTGCGTGGTGTGGATTATTGATTCACCTCCACCTCCAGCCTCGAATAAACGACACGTACTAATGTTGAAAAATTTATTGACAGAATTCGTTAGAAATACATTTCATTGATGAAGAGAATGAATATAATGAAATGATAGAGGAAAAATTTATTAAAATTGTTTTTCTAATTGGATAGAATTTATTGTTGCCTCTGGCCGCCATTGCCAGCTCCACCTGCTTCTGGATTGGTTGCGGATGACAGAACAACGAAGATTAGGGCAGGAACTATGTACATCCACTGGAAAGCAAGCAAATTAAATCAATTATGAAAATTGAAGTCAGTGACACTCTCCTAAAAATTACTATTAAATTATCCATGAAATTATATATTTTCTCCAACAGTGTGTGGACAATAGCACAGAAGAGTACGAAAAATACAACATTATGGTTAAATTTTTTACCTAAATTCTCTTCAATTAAATCCGATGGCTAGTTTTAATTTCACAAAAAAATGCTATCCATATTTTTTTCGGGAAAAACATGACTTTCTCGAAAACAATGATAATTTTTTTTTACCATAATGCCTTGACCCTTAACAATGACTTTTTTCTTGAAATTATGACTACAGGACCAATTGTGAGAATCTGCCATACACTGAGAGAGAAACGAACAAGTTTTCAAACAAGTCTCGTTTGGACCAACAACATCGTTAGTTGAAAATTACGAAAACAATAATTGTTTCGTTCGAATTTGAGTCTCAAATATGAATTATTGCTCTGCTTTCAACAACAACGAAATATTTGGCACAATAGGCGAATCATTCATGCCTTTTAAGGATAAAAATATCTCTTAGAGGGAAGTTTATCAAGAAATATTTTGTCCCTAAGTTACAAAATTGCTAACATATCATTATTATTATTTCATTTAAGAATTCATTTTTTGTCTGTGATTATTGAATAGCCGAAATGATAAATTACTATCCCTCGTTTCATGTAAAACGAGCATTTTCTGGCAGCAAAATGCGCATGGGAGCATCGAATAACGAAAAAGTAGTGTTAGAAATTGCATTTCTTGTTTGCACAGAGATTCAATTTTTTTTTTTAAACTAAATCTATTTTTGCAATAAAGATTTTCAATCTCGAAGCACGCTTCGCATGTTTGGCGCAAAAAGATTCTTTTTTGATAGTTTTTAACAAACTATTTATTTGGCACGAGTAAGACTTGTCTGAGAACTCTACTGTATTTCTCTCACTGTAAATGATGGAATTGTCAAGTGAGAAAAGAAATAATTAAATGAGTTCTTACATATTTAGCAAGGAATGATCTATTGTCTTTGGTTTCTCCTCTCTCCCTGGCTTCCTTCTCACGTTCCAACTTATAAATATATGAGGCAGTATCAGGCACAGGTCCTCCATCAGGATATCGCACTTGAACACTGCTCGTCCACATTTCGGTCGTGGGTGTATCAAGACTGCATGGGCCTGGTGACACCTGAGTTATTGACACTGGCTCTGCTCCGGGATCCAGCCAGATCGTGATAATGTCCTCAAGTTCAGTTCCCAACAAATGGCACTGCAACAGAATAGGAATCAACATCTCCAATCTTGTGTCGGTGAAAAATACTTTAAAAAATTCGACTGGGTTGGAGTGGGTGTGACCCATTACGGATCGAACCAATAACTTCCCGACCAATTGCCTTCCCTTCATTTATTAGAATTAGATTTTTCTATACAACTTATTCTATTGAGATATTTTCCACTGAAATTCCTCGGCTCAAATTTTCTAAGTTTTTTTGTTTGATTTTCTTCATGAAAAAAAAAACAGAAAACTAGAATGAAAAAATTATAATAATGAAAAAAATTGACCTGTATTAAAAAATCTTTGAAAAGTTTCAAATTTAAAAAATTCATGTTCGAATTAGTCCGAAACCGCTGAAACGATTTCGCGGGAATTTCACTCCAGTCTTAAGTATTCAAAGTTGCATCAATTATGGTGACAAGAAATCAATCTCATCGTTTCTTTGAGAGAAATCATCAAATCAAATTTGTAAAAAAGTCATTTTTCGACGTTTTTTCACAAGTTTTATTGCAAAACCTAAAGAACCGCCGAGGTGATGTTGTTCAGAATCTAATCAGTTTTAAGTTACATAAAAACACATCGATTGCGTGAAAAAAATTGAATCGCATCATTTGTTCGAGAGAAAGCGTAGCACAAAATTTTTGTTACACACACACACACACACACACACACACACACACACACACACACACATATCCACACATACAGACCGGTCTCTAAAAAGTGTCGGGAGAGTTTCTAGGGGTCATGAAACGTGGAGGAATCATGAAATTTCCACAATCAATTTTCGGGGTCGGGTTTAAATTGTTTAAGCTCATTCTGTATACAATTATTTAATGATTACCGCTGGTACTGATGTATAGAGAGTTGTCTCAGCACCTGATGACCCTTTAATCACCGCTTTTAATCGATAATGCCTGGCATTTTGTGCGAGTCTCTTCAAACTATTCATTTGTGATGGTTGAAGGCCCATTTGGCCTATTGTCGAGGCACCTGTCCGTATGCTTGTTACTGTTATATTACCTCTCTCAGTGAAATGAGGGACTGGGTCATCGTTCAATGCATGGTACAGACGGAGTTGTAACCAACCATCGTAATCCAGCTCACTCTGCAATTATCAGCATTTTTATCCTTTTTATCATAATTTTCAGCAAATAAAATTATATTGATTACAGCAAAAATTCCAATCAATTAAATGAGTGGAAATAAATTAAACAATAAATGAAATATAAATTTAATCGAATAAAATCCATGAAGATATACTGTTGAGGGGAGACTACTATGAGTTTTAAAAGTCGTGGGCTATTGGAATGAGATTTCTCATACATTGAAGATCGATTATATATATATCTAATAAAAACGAATAATGAGTGCAAAAAAATTAATTGTTTATCATTCGTTTACCCCGCAAACGCTTAAAATGTTACAAATAGTCTAGGGCCTTCAATTTTTGAACTAGAGAGGTTTTTTTTTCAAAATTTGTGAAAAAATGGGTGCAATAACAATTACGAATTAGTTTTTTGAAATTCAACTCCTACACAGCTAATTTCGTTATTTTTTAAATAAAAAATTGCACCATTCATGTAAAATAGCCCGCAAAATGTGTCTGAAACCCAGCAAACAGTAGGGGAGGGTAGGGTAAAACGGACACTTCTGACTTTTTTAAAAATATTTATGACGTATTGAATTGTTCATGAAGTGGAATAATTTTATTTTTCAATTGAAAAACAATTATTCCCCTTTGTGATGAGCTTAGACTGAGCTCAATTGATAAATCTGTTTCTGAGTTATGAATATTTTTAAAAAAGGCAAAAGTGTCCATTTTACCCTACCCTCCCCTATGTCGACAAATTGCCGATGTCCTGTTGAATTTTAGATGGCACTGGCAAAAACTGTTTTCTGGGAAAGAATCGAGAATATATTTTCAATATTTTAAGAATAATTTTTCTGTATATTTTACATGAATGGCGCAAATTTTTATATTAAATAAAGCGAAATAACCTGTGTAGGAGTCAAATTTCAAAAAACTAATTCGTAATTGTTATTGTACACATTTTCTCAAAAATTTTATTAAACAAAAAAATATTCTGTAGCTCAAAAATTGGAGGCCCTGGACTATTTTCAACATTCTAAGCGTCTGCGCGGCAAACGAACAATAAACAATTAATTTTTTCGCACTAATTATTCGTTTTCAGACATATATAATCGATTTTCAATGCATGAGAAATCTCACTCCAATAGCCTACAATTTTTGAAACTCATAGTGGTCTCCCCCTTGAATAACTAGCTGATTTCATCTGAATATTGTAAAAATTTATGAGACAACCAAAAAATGATGGCAGTCACCAGAAAATTCACCAAAAAAATATCAAAAAATCCTCACATACCCCAATGACACATGACGACGTGCACACCAGAACGATTGACAGTAGTAACTTCATTGTTATCTAAATGAACTCCCGACTCTGGTTTCTACCAGCTGCGCTAACCACACGAATAACTAATCCACTCAATACGAAAATTTATATCATGATTACTTCATTCATTAATCAATCGCGATGCTGGAACTGTTGACATCAACAGAACAAACTGGAATGAGTTCGGAGTTCGTAACCCAAAAATTCAAGACTGCAGATGAATTTTCAAGTGGCGAGCGGTCGTTGTGACGTTTGCGCTGGTTTGCGCCGCCCAGCGCCGCCATGAATTTCGTGTTTTCCTAACCTCAACCCTCAGAGTCCGGAGTCCCCCCAACCGACCACCGAAGACCAGCAGCCGAAGAAACTCCGTGATAATCACGAAAAACTTCCAAAAATGAAGCAACAACGATAGTTAAACCCGGCAACAGTATCTGACATCTTTCAAGCAGTGAACGTAACGATAATTCAAAGTACAAAAGTCCCAAATAAGTGAGAAAACGTGTGACAATCGTCGTAATCGTTGGTTTCACAATTCTCATCAACAAATTTCATCACCGAAGATTTTGGAAAAAGCTCCGGATAAATTGACACACCTCTCTGCTGAGAAGTATTCAATCTCCATTCGTAAGAAGATTCACCATAATTCAGTTGAATCATTGACTCAACGATGAATATAAAAGTTCCATCAATTATTCCTTAATCACCTGAATGAATTGTTAAAATAAATGTCCCAGAATGAGTGATGTGAGTAAAAAGGTAGGTGAAACTTCCAGTGGAGAGGTTGTTAATGGATTTCGGAGCTGTAGGGATTTGAGTGATATTGTACCACTGTACACAGCTAAGGGGCTTTACTTGAAACCAATAGCCAAAATAAATGTGTCTGTTAATCTTCCCCAATTAAAAACCCCAGGTAATTACGAGCCCTCGGAGTAGAAGCATTAGTGTTCTCTCTCAATTCTAACTGTAATTATGTTTGATGAAATTATTCCAGTAAAACAGGGAAGTTCAGTGGGTCATAATTTACATTCACTTTTCTTTGGGTTTTTAACTGATAATGTTCCCTAGGAATAGCAGGTTTTACAGCACATTACTACAATATAAACAGGAAAAACAATATCAACATGGGAGGTTATGGAGAAAATACGTCTGCTGATACGTCCCGACGAGTTTGCCTCCCTCAAAGTCACCAAGAGTACTCTGGAGTTTGTGAGACTGGAGGGAGAGTTGACAGACAGAAGCAGATTGCAGAGGGCATTGGCGAGGCTAGAGGGGCAACGAATGAACCTGGCTGGATTCTCCAATGTACTGAAAATACGTGCCGTAGAGGCCAAGGATGACTTTCCAACAAAACACAGTTGGGATTCTTATTTTCGTGATGCCAAACATATGAATGAACTCAAGCCTGGAGAGAGACCTGACACTGTCCATATCAGTGGGCTTCCTGTCAAGTGGTTCAGTGAGGATGGGGGAAAGACTCCTAGTGAGCCAATGCTCATGAGAATGTTCAAGAAGTGGGGAACACTCAGGAGGATTGATGTGCCTGCTGCTGACTCGTACAGATCGAGACTGCGACTTGGGAATAATATCCAGAAGTGCAGCTTTGGGGATGGCATTTTCTTTGATGTTTATGTGCAGTTTATTGAGTATATGGATTTTGTCAAGCTTATGGACTCACTGAGGGGGATGAAGATCATGAAGAAGGAGGGACAGAGTTGTCTCACTGCTCAAATCAAGGTGAGTGGCCAGTGGGGTACAATGGAAACTTTTGACATTTTTTCAAGGGAATTATTGAGTTGTTAATGTCAGGGATTATTTTTTGGGAGCAGAGACTGAAAATGTCTATTCTCTTTTTTTTTCATTTTTTGGTTTGGAAGCAAATTTTGGAAACATTCTGAATGTATTACGATTTCAAAATACTATTTTTTGAGGGAGGAAGCTTTTTTTTTGCTTGAATTGCGTTAAACAGTGGTTTTTCGAATGTTTCCTTTTGCCCCACTCTCCCCTAGTCCACAATGCTAATAATCTGACAACGATTTAAGTGTCATGGAAGACAATAGTTTCGAATATTTGCTTTGAAAGATGAATTTCTCGTCTCGAGAGAGAATGTTCTACGTAAAATTATATCTTTTCTTACAAAAAACAGGAGGCAAACGATCTTCAAATTTTCTCACCATTTGTTTCATCAATTTTATTACAATATTTAGGTTGATTTCGACAAGACGAAACACATGAGCGATTCCTCGGTGGCTCACAGGGAATTCGAGAGGAAGCGACTGATTGCACAAGACAGTTTAGCAGCTGAGAAATTGAGGCGGAAGGAGGAGGCTGAGGTGCAGAAAAGAGAAGAGCAAAAGTAAGTTTATTATTAAATTCCCCTCCCCCAATATTGATTCACCTTTGATGTCTATCTTCGCTATTTCTCAAGGAAAAAAGAGGCCGCCGACAAAGATGCTAAAGAATCAAGAAGGAGAAAACGAGAGGAGAAACGAAAACGTAAAGCTTTGACTATGTTTAGAAAACAGGAGGAGGATAAAGTGTCCATGAAGATAGCTCGGGAAGAGAGAAAACTGATAAAAGCACAGAGACAACTTGAGAGCATTCGTTTGCTTGATGAACTATTCGATAGGATTAAGGTAAGTATTTTGCTCTTCTCAATCGAGGTAATAAACTTTGAGAAGCTTATTTCTTTCGTTTATCTGCAGACTAAAGTCGAGAAGAAAGAGATTGTAATTGGAGGAATGAGTCAGGAGGATCAAAAATCTGGTCAGAAGGCGGATAAGGTCGAGGAGGCATCCAACAAGTCGGCAGATAGGGATGATAAAAAGGCGGATAAGAGGAATAAAAAGTTGAAGAAGAAGAAATCGAAGAAGGAGAAAAAACGAAAGGTAAATATTTTCTTATGCTTTGGTCGAACCTACTGTTAGAAATTTCTGCGTGAATTTTTCAATATGATCTTTATTATTCAATCCAAGTAGACGTTATCCAAGGAGCAGTTGTGTTTTATGCACTGTTAAGAAAAATTTGGAATTGCATGGGTAGTTGACTCGTAATTCTTAGGACAATGACATTGAATTTAATTGAGGGAAAAAAATAATGAAATTGCAGATTTCACTGAAAACACTGTTCGATAAAATTCGGACGTCGTCGACTACAAGAGATTGACCCCATGGTATAGATATCTTGATGCTGATTTTAAATTTTTTTTGGAAAATCTTTCTAGCACCTTCAGTTTTCGTGAAAAAAAATGTTGAGGTGTTGAAAAGTAGCCGAAAAGGGCAATTTGAAAAATTTATAGAAAAATGAATTTTGACGTAGTTTTTTCCAGAAAAAAATACAATGAATTAATGAAAATGCAATTTATTTAGTGTATTTGGATTCATCCCGATTGATTGAGTTGAAATGAGTGAAAAAAATCTCGAAAAAGTCAAAATTTCATGATTTTTCTTGTAAAGTTGAATGATAGGAAGTAGATTGCGCACACTTTGATGCATGCCTTAACCCTGTGCATATATTTTTTTTTTTCAACTTCATTTCCGCAACTAAACCTCTCAACAATTGAGGGTGACTTCTCATAAGAGCAATTAACCGGTTACATTGCAGGAGAAGCATCCTCAAACTTCATGTTAAGTCACTTTGAGGTTGACACATGGGTGTAGATTTGACGTGCATCAAAGTGCAACCAACTTCCGATCATTTGATTTCACAAGAAAAACCATGAAATTGGGATCTTTCAGGATTTTTTTCACTCACTTCGACTCAACCAATTGGGATGAAATTGAATCTATTAAACAAATCGCATTTTCGTTAATGCACAGTTTTTTTCTGGGAAAAATTACGTTAAAATTCATTTTTTTATAAATTTTTCAAATACTTCATTTTAGCCATTTTTCAATATTTCACCATTTTTTTCTCGAAAACTCAACGTGCTAGACGTGTCAAAATATCTATAAGATGGGGTCGGTTTAGTTTTTGAGGTCGACCACGTCCGAATTTTGTTGAACCGTGAAATTAATGCTCTTGGAAAATTGAACTCTATTTTCTGTCAAAAATTGGATGCTCTTATCAAGTCTCTCATCCATCTGTTGTATTTCTCTTCCCAGAAAAAGAATAAAAAAGACTCTGCAAGTTCAAGCGACGATTCAGACGTGGAGCCTGATAAGAAGAAATTGCGTAGTGCCTTGGGTACCAATAACACAAATTCCATGGAAGTAGATCCTGAGCTTGGTATACCACAGATGTACCCCCGTTTTCCACAGCCATGGTTTTACGATGCAGCAGCCATGCTCTATCCAGCAATGAGTCGTGGTGGGGGTGGTGGGATGAATCGATATCAACGCGGTAGGGGCAAGAGTTTTCCTCGTCGTGGTGGCAGATACCCTCGATCGATGCGTGCATTCAACCCCCACATGTACAACGAACAGTACTACAAGTACTTTGCCAATCTAGCTGGGATAGATTACTACGAGAGTGATTACAACTCAAAATCACGTTCACGTAGTCGTGGCCGTAGTAGATCGAGAAGTAGATCTAGATCGAGAAGAAGGACAAGGAGCAGGAGTTATTCTCGATCGAGATCAAAATCACGTGAGCACAGACGACGTAGGAGGTCATCATCACGCTCGAGGTCTCGCTCAAGATCGAGATTGAGACGCTCCAGGTCTAGGAGAAAATCGAGATCATTGTCACGATCACCCTCGAGGGACAGCAAGCAGAGGCAGAGTCGAAGGAACCGGAGTAGATCAAAAGTTAAGGTGACGCGTGCTAAATCAAGATCGACTACACCCAGGAAGAGGTCCAGGAGTAAGTCATGGTCGATGCCAAAGTCACCGAGGCAACGCAGTTGTTCATGGTCGAAGAATGTTGATGAAGCTGTCAAGGGCGCTGAGGAGGGCAAAGCTACGGGTGAATCTAAGACTGCTGACACTAGTAAAGACGTTTGACATTCCCCTTATCAGAGACCGAATCATTATTTTCGAAGGCTTACGATACTTCCAGGAGCACTTGGAGCAATAGTCTTCTTTTCTACATCACTCATTTGTTTTCTGCAGTATAATTTTCATTTTGTAATTGTAATCGTATTGATAGTTTGAAATATAATTTCCTTTGATTAAAATTGGCTACTGGTTGTTTTGATTCATTATCTCAAATCACCCTCAAAAGACAGCAGTGGCAGAATGGATGAACATGGAGTGAATCGAAATTCAAGTTGACGTGTGTTAAATAAAAATCGAATACACCCAGGATGAGTAAAACTATGGATGAACACAAGACTGCTGACACTAGTAAAGACGTTTGACATTCCCTTTATTAGAAATATCGAATCATTATTTTCGAAGGCTGACGATACTTTCAGGAGCACTTGGAGCAATAGTCTTCTTTTCTACATCACTCATTTGTTTTCTGTAGTATAATTTTCATTATGCCACTCATGCCTGAAACCGGCTGGATTACACACTCGACGCTTCGCGTCTCGTATCTAATTCAGCCGGTTTCAGACTTCGTGACATAAAATTTTGTTCAGTACTTGTTGGGAAATTTCGTCCTTAACGTGTGTGGTTACATCACTCGCCTTCGGCTCATGCTGTAAACCCCACACACGTTAAAGACGAAATTGCCCCACACGTGCTGAAATATACTATTTTGCAATGGTAATCGTATTGATAGTTTGAAATATAATTTCCTTTGATTAAAATTGGCTACTGGTTGTTTTGATTCATTATCTCAGTTCACCCGCAAAAGACAGTAAGCAGGGGCAGAATAGCGCATACGGGTGAATCCAAGACTTCCCCTTATCAGAAATATCGAATCATTATCTTCGAAGGCTGACGATACTTCCAGCAGCACTTGGAGTAATGGAGTCTTCTTTCCTACATCACCCATTTGTTTTCTGCAGGATAATTGTCATTTTGCAATTGTAATCGTATTGATAATTTAAAATATAATTTCCTTCGATTAAAATTGTCTACTGGTCGTTTTGATTCATTATCTCAAATCACCTCCGAAAGACAGTAAGCCCGGCAGAATGGAAGAAAATGGAGTGAATCGAAAGTCAAGGTGACGACTGTTAAATAAAAATCGAATACACCCAGGAGGAGGTCCAAGAACAAATCATGGTCGATGTCAAGCTGCCACGGGTAGTGAGGGGGGTAAAACTACGGGCGAAACTGCTGACACTAGTAAAGACGTTTGACATTCCCCTTATCAGAAGCATCGAATCATTATCTTCGAAGGCTGACGATACCTCTAGGAGAAATTACATCAATAGTCTTCTTTTCTACATCACTCATTTTTTCCTGCAGCATAATGTTCATTTTGCAATTGCAACTGTATCGTTAATTTGAATTACAATTTTCTTTCATTAAAATTGTCTACCAGTTGTTTCCATAAATTATTTCAGCTACTCGTGCACATGCAGGTACGGGGCTCGAACAAATATCGAACAGAAGAAATTCAGTTAGATTTATTGTTAAATTTGTTTTATCGAAACTCTAAAGAAATTTTCGAAACTAATTCCTTTATAATATTTTTACTGCGATGAGTTCTGTGTGGGACATTTCATTCATAACCAGAGGAAATTAGTGGTGAGTTCTCATTTTTGGTCCCCTATCCTTAATGTTTTCATTATTTTGTCTTTGTGCTACTGGCTAGATGTGGTTTAGGAAGCATTATATCGGCCTATTTTAGTCATTCGTTCGTAAAATAGAATTCAAGATGAAATGAGATGTCTCAGAATTGTTCGTGGTTGTCATACTACTGAGTGATTGAGGAAACAAAGACAAAAGGCACATCCCCAAGTGTGTCAAAATAATTTGTAGACAATTCAATGAAATGTGTATTTTCTTCTTCAATATCTTCATTTGCAGTAATCCCAGGCACTTCACGCAAGTAATGCTTGTTTAAACTATTTTTTTTTCCAAGTAATCAGGCGGACTAAAGTCTGTATACTTTACATAAAATGCGCATTATTAAATTTACGTGTACGCGTAATATAATGTTGTTGGTTGTTGTTTTTTTCTTTGATAATTCCATTTATTTAAACTAGTAGGAAATCAGTATTGAGTATTAAATCCTCCCTCTGTATTTTTTTTTCTTCTTCTTTTTCCCCTTTGTATCGTGTTAGTTTAACGTTTATTACAGTATATTCTTTTATGCGTTACTTAAAACTACGTAACAATATGTACAAACATAATATGTTTACATCAACACTTATTTACACTTTTCTTCTTTGAGAAGTTTTTCTTTTTGTTTATATAGACTAGAAGAGGTTGTATCTTTGAGTAACAGAGATAACAGACTAGTATTTTTTCTTTTGTTAGTTTTGCTTATACTCCTTTCTATTAACTCAATCAATGAGTAACAAGAGTTAGTGGTTTCCTCCGTTTGTTTCTCACAATTCTTTTTAAGAGATTATAAATATTTTATTTAACGTAGATGTTGAATTTTTTTCTGCCCTTGTTACAATTGAGTTGACGCATGAAATTTTTCTTTATTGAATGGGGGAATGAAAAATATGAGATGCGCGTTTATTATTTTCCACTTAATTTTCATATTCAATTAAAGAATTTCATGGAAAATCCCAATTTCAATTGAATCTACTAATTTCAGGCGGACTTTATCCCAATGCAAACTCATTCAACGGATCTGGATTATTTTCGCCTCGAAATTTAAATAAAAATTAATCCTAGACACTCAATTACACATGAACATTTTGTGCGAAATAGTGCTTATAAATGGTAATCAATCAAGAATGAGCGCTATCTATGTAGTTTTATTCTCACTTCCTGATAGCAATACACATCAAAATTGTTCGATCACTTTCATCACTTGAACTATTAATGTATCGTATCTGAAAGACGTTTCTTTTATTTTTACCTAGGAAATTTATAACTGTAAGAAAATGAGGGGAAATAATCGAACAGCGCTGATGTCAATTCAATGTTCATTTTCAATTAGGAAATATTGATTAATTTACTTATTCAATTATTCCGCTTGTGACTATCATAGCAGTGTATAAAAGATTAAAGCTCGACGAGCCTAAATATCGTATTTTTTAAATTATTATTCGAATTTTGCGAGCGTTCATCGAATTCACCTGCCAGTGAAGTTTTTCATTTCTTTATACATTAAATACGCCTTATGATTAGACATGGGCCCGGTTCTTACATTACACGCAACACAAGTACTCGTAAATGAAGAAGGAATGTGAAATAATCAACTCCACGTACAAAAATTTATAGAAAAAACTACTGCATTCGATAGAAAATTTTATTGTTTTTTCGCCGATTCTATTAAAAAATTGCACAGCAGTAGAATTTGATTTTTCTATGCAACTTATTCTATTGAGATATTTTCTATAGAAATTCTTTGACATACATTCCCAACGTTTTTTCGCAGCATTTTTTTTTTCCTTCCATTAAGGGGAGATTACTATGAGTTATAAAAGTCACGGGCTATTGGAATGAGATTACTCATACATTTAGTGCAAAAAAATTAATTATTCATTGTTCGTTTGCCCCGCAGACGCTTAAAATGTTAAAAATAGTCCAGGGCTTCCAATTTTTGAGCTAAAAAGTTTTTTTTTCAAAATTTTTGAAAAAAATGCGTGCAACAACAATTACGAATTAATTTTTTGAAATTTCACTCGTATACAGCAAATTTCGTTTTTTTTAAATAAAAAATTGCACCATTCATGTAAAATATCCCACAAAATGTCTCTGAATCAATCGAGAATACATTCTAAGGATAATTTTTTTACCTATGTTACAAGATAGGCGCAAATTTTTATGTTAAACAAAACGAAATTAGTTGTACACGAGTCGAATTTCAAAAAACTAATTCGTAATTGTTATTGTATAGGGGAGAGTCGGGCAAAATGGGACGTTTCGTGATTTCTCTATTAGTCAATATCTTCATTTATAAGTGAACATATTGACAATTGGAAAAGATCTCAATACGTCCCATTTTGCCCGAGCCTCCCCTACTTTTGTTCAAAAATTTTGAAAAAAAACCTCTGTAGCTCAAAATCGGAGGCCCTGCAGTAAATAAACAATAAACAATTATTTTTTTTGCGCTAATTATTCCATTTTTTGGCAATCGCACATATGAAAAAATTCAATAGAAAACCTAGCGAAAATTGTTTGAAAATTCTATTGAAATTTTACAGGAATTCTATGGGGGTTTCTATAGGATTTCTATTGGAATTCTATTGAAAAATTTTATTTGTTTTTGCACTGATTCTATTGGCGATTCGATAAGAAAAAGTCAATAAATTTCGAATTTCTGTTCAAATTTTTCTCGGGAGAGTTTTTCTATTAGACTTATTGGGCACAAGTTTTTTCCGCTGGATTTTGTTTTGTTTTGCACTACAGAATGCGAGTGGAAAAAACTTGGGAAATTAATTCCCAAGCATTCTTATAGAAAACGTCTCAAGAGCAAAATTCAAACAGAAATTCGAAATCTGTTGACATTTTCTTAGCGAATATCCAATAGAATCAGCGCAAAAAAAATAGAATTTGTCAATAAAATTCCAATAGAAATCCTATAGAAACCCCATAGAATTCCAATAGAATTTTCTAGCGAATTGGCTAGTTTTTCTATTGAATTTTTTCATGAGTTCGCCCCGACTTTCAGAACTCACAGTAGTCTCCCCTTAAAAAAATAAAACTGAGAAAACTGGGGCTGAAAAAATTCTACACAAGATTTTTCAATGGAATAAGTTGTTCAGAAAACGGAAATTCTATTGATGTTTCTATAAATTACATTCTGTGAAAAAAAATAGCAGAAAAACTACGAATTTTGTCAATAGAATCGACGCAAAAATAATTGTATTCAAAAGAAGTTCTACAGAAATGCATTAGAATTTTCTGGCGAATGCGCAAGGCCTTTCTGTGAAACTCTTCGTACGTATCCAATTCTGATAGGACTAGATCATTAGCTTAGTTTTATCCATATCCTGAGGGGAAAATGAGACTCGGATCATCGCTATAGATTTTCTCTTTGAAATCTAGCAGCGTGAATTACAATTGAAATTCCTATTACGGAGCGGCGGACATTCGATGAATGCCACTGATGGCTCCTAATTTTCGTGAGCATAATTTACATTAATT